AGAAAAGATAATTTTAAAAAGGATCCACTTTCACAGTGAGTAGCTCAAGAGTGTGTAAGCACCTCTGACCAGTGTCCTTAAAAGTTATAGTGTCCAGGAGCATGTCCTGACTCCATGGGGAACTCAAAGCCCATCAACATTCTTTGAAAATCCCGATGCTTCAGTAACTGCAGATACACTATTGTCCACCTAAACTACTTAAATACTGCAGCTAAAAGCGGTGTCTCACCACAGAAAACGAAACCCATCGGTCAGAGCTCTCCCTTTACAGAGCAACCCGAGGGCCGATCATTTGTAGGTACAAATTTCAAGGCGGCGGGTGGGAGGGGAGCTCCACCACCCTGCCAGAAGAGCTCCGAGAGGCGCAGAACTCTTACTAACGAAGCAGGTGGCATCTGCATCCAGGTGCCAGACTGCGCCTTGAAACGACTGTGCCGGCTCTCTCTTCTCCACGCCGGCCAGGACGCGGACACGGCGTGTCGTTCCCCACCCGTGGCACGGCACTCGTGTCAGAGCCACAAACACCGCCTGTTTCCCCCAGCCCGGCCCGGGGAGGGCCCGGGGGAGCGCAGGCCCCGCACAGAGCCCCGACCCCGGCCCGGGCCGTGTCCCCGCCCGGCCCAGCGGCACCAATTCCAGCAGACACCCCGCTCCTCTCTGCCCCAAAACTTCGCGTTCTCTCCCCGTTCCTGCGGCTGCTCCCCCGGGACCCGCCCGCAGGGCACGGCGGGGTCGGGTCCCGCACACAGCCCGGGGCAGGGGGGCACGGCGGGGTCGGGTCCCGCACACAGCCCGGGGCAGGGGGGCCCGGCGGGCTGGGGGCCCGGCCGGCGCTGGGAGCGGCCCCGGCAGGGCAGGCTCGGAGGCAGCGAGGGGAGGCGGCCCCGACGTGGCGGTCCCGGGGGCTCCGGAGGGGCCGGGGGAGCGGGGGCACCGCGTCCGAGCGGCCCCGGGCAGGGCAGGGCAGGGCAGGGCGGGCCGGCCCCGCGTCCCCCGGCGGAGCAGCGAGCGGGGAACTCGGCGCACAAGTTCGGGGCAGGGCAGGAGCGCGGCCCCGTCCCGCTCACCTGAACACGCAGTCGTCGCGGGCGTCCCTGGCCGGGGAGATGAGCCCGTGCTTCTTGTTGAAGAGCTTCTGGAAGAGGGTGGGCGGCATCTTGGGGCGCCGCCGCTGCCCCCGCCGCCGAGCGCCGGGCTCCGCGCAGCGCCGTCCCCTCGCCGCGGCTCTAGATCCGCCCGCCCCGCTCCATTCGGTGTCACAGTCATATGACAGAAATTAGTCACCCGCCGCTGCCAGCAGGGGCGGGGGCAGCGAGGGGCGGGCCGGAGGCGGCGGGGGCCGGGCGGGCCCGGCGGGGCGGCCCCACGTGCGGAGGGAGCGCTGCGGGAGCGGGGCCGGGCCGGGATGGGTTGGGCTGGGGGTCCCTCGGGGGTGCCGCGGCCGCGGGGGGAGCGCGGAAGGCGGGCAGGGCCGAGGGAACCCCGGCGGCCACAACCCCGTGCGGGGCTCTCCTTCTCCGCACGGAAGTTCGGGACGGGAACCCCGGGAAGGCGGGGGAGGTCCCGAGCGAGGCAGCTCAGCCTGCAGGGGGCACCGAGAGCGCCCACGGCCCTTCCCCAGGCCTGGAACGCCCTCCCTTCCCCTCCCGGGACCCGGCCCTTCTCCCCGGCCGAGACAACGGCGCAGCTCAGACGCGCTCCTTTCGCACCCCGCAGGGAAGGTGGGACGCGGGTAGGTGCTGGCACGGGAAGCCATCATCGCAGGTAAAATACCCAGCCACAAAACGGCGTTCAGGACATAAAGCCCTACAAGTCAATCCAGAACAAATTATAAGGAGGGGAAAAAAAAAAAGTGTGATAGATTTTATAAAATCAAAAGGACCTGAGGATTTTTGCAAAACTCTTTATTAATAAATGTTGAAGTGAAATAGGAATCCTGTGAACAGTTAACAGTCTCCTTCAGTGTATCACTGTTCAGATACAACACTGCTAGGGAGTTTAATTAAGGACTGACAAAACTGACTGACTCATCTGCTTTCCCTACAAAATGGAATTAAACTAAAACAACCTATGACGTAAGATTAAATTAAGCAGATTCTTTTTAAGGCACAATTTAGTGCATGTGTAACATATCTACACAACAATTCTTCACAATCACCCATCTCTAGGAATTTTGTTTTTCATCCAGCAGAACTTGAAGATAATTCTAACAGCAAACAGGAATTAATGTTTAGATGCATCCCTTTCCCCTTGATCTGTATGGAAGACACACCTGTCTGACATAGGTTTGTACATGACCAACCTTTACATCCTTTCACCAGATAAAACCCTCCTGGTTTCAAGGTGGGCATGTAAATACAGTCTTGAATACAAGAAGCCCTCAGGGAACACTACAAGCTAATAAAATTTTGGCCAGAACGTGTAATTCAACTTAATTTCGCAACTTAGAGCAATGAAGATTTAGCTATCAATTTAGTCATCAATTCCAGCTGATAGAGTCCCTTTAAGAGTAAATATTAACCTGTTCCAAAACACCTAAATTAACAACAGTTGATTCTGATAGGCTTGACTGTCAGACCTTAATTGAGGGAGGGGAGGAAGGACAGTGAGAGGAAAAAGATGGGTACAAATTTAATCATCCACTTTCCCATAAAAACCTCTCTGCAGGCAAACTTTCATACCTACACAAACAACGTGACCTTCGTTGTCCATTCAGTACGTGCTGATTTGGGCCCCAAACCTCTCCCTTCTGTGTCTGAAGATTGTGAACCGAAGCAGAGCCATTTGCATCACGGTCTTTACCCTCCACCAGCCTGTACGTGCACCCCTGTAGCACTCCAGTGCAAGAAGCAAACATCTCCCATCATCTCTGAACACTTTAAGTCAAAGTCTCCTAGAAGTGCACTTCAGATAACAAAAATAACTGAACAGTGTTAATGAAAAACCTCTTACAGATTTATGTACAATACATTTACTCAACATGCATCTGCCATGCACAATTCCCAGTGATAAAGGGTTATCAGAGTTCCTGCATGGACTGACTCGCTGGGAGCAATTCCATTCAAGCCATTAAGGCTTCATCATGTCTGGGACGTGACAGGGCAGCCCTGGTGACACTGAACAGATTCCTCTCCTGAATCACTGCACAAATAACCTCCTCTGTCCTGCCCATTCACTGGCCACGACCCATAACCTTTATCTACCAACATGGAAGAGCCAGTTTCACTCTCAATGAAATTTTATGTAGTCCTTCTTCAGCTGAAACCCAAACTATGGGAAAATGCCTTTCCTTTGAGAAAAGCAGAACAAGAGTAGGGATTGTTCCGGCCTCCAAATGAATTTCCTTCCCTGGGGCAGGGAGCTAGCCTGGTAATTAATTACACTTTCTCTCAGAGTCAGACAAAAGATGAAAATAAGAAGCAGCACTTTCACAGCTGAAGGGAAGGACAAGAGATTGTGGTTCCTGATATTTCTGCCCTCCTGTACAGCCTCATCACATCACGAAAAACAGAAGCAAAACACAGCAATATTCAGGCTGCTACAGCCACCTCCACAGTTACAGACCATATTTCTTTCTCTTGTACTTTCCAATTAATTTGCCAGTCTTAGTCAGTCTCTTGTACAAAACTACCAGATGGTCTGGGGCAAAGGAAGTGTTTTTTCCTAGAACTTCTAGAATACCCTTACAATAAACACATCTTTATCCAGGACCATCCTTTACCTGAACAATCATCGTCATCAGAACTTACAAGATAAGTAACTTTCAATTTTGCTGAAAACTACATCAAGGAGTTCACCTCTATGTCCTAAGGGCTCTAGATTCTTGCATAATTACTAGTGACTGTTTGCAAGAACAAGGAGATTGATAATTAGAAGATATGTGATATCTGAGAGGACTCCAGTGAGTTACTGGTAGAACTCATTCTACTGATGTTTAAAAAAGAAAAAAATAGCTTAATAGCATAATTTTTAACCTTGAGCCATATAGTTATGTTTATACAATACTTCTTCACAGACTAATCCAGCTGCATTTATTTGCACCTCCTTCTACCCCAGAGCAAAGGGGAAAGGCTCAGGGTTTGAACTTTCACAGGTATTTTCAAACATAGTCAAACTAAAGTTGTGTATTTTTTGTCTTCTCAGCATAACCTTTTTGGAAATACAATTTCCAGATTGTATAACACATGAGAAACAGACTTTTGAAAGCCATACTGGCATTTTGAAACATCAAAAAACTTCCCTTTTTGTCCAGAAAAAGCTCAGGGTGTTGTAGTGAGAACACTGTAGGGATCCAAATTAGTTTAACCTGCAGTGAATTCAACTGGAAACAACTGTGCTCTTGAGAGTGTTTTCTGAGGCACTCAGCACACTGAGAATGACATTTATGAATTAACCATCCACAAGCTGAACTGGAAATGATGTGGACATGGTGTGAACAGTAACCTGGAAATCCAGAATGCCAACACCCAGCTCTTCACACAGTTCCCTGTGGGTTTCCCCACCACTGTACTCATGTAAGGACTGAGGGCTGTGACATCACAGAGCACTGAGGGGGAACGGGCAGCACTCCCAGGTGGCTGGGCTGTGGATGTGCCCAGAAGGGTGACAGTGCTGGCCACCAGAGCCAGCTCACAGCGATGGCAGGGGGATGATGACCTATATTCATGGTTAGAAATGGATTTACAGCAGAGCACACAGTTCTGCACACCTAAGCATTCAGGGAGTTCAGTGGCAGCACACCACTGACCTGGGGGGCCCTGAGAGCACAGGAGAGCTTTCACACCCACCACAGAATCAGTGTCAGCATTTAACAGAGGTCACATCTTTAAATGCTAATGCTGCTAGAGAAAACTAGAAATCTTGGCAGAGCAAGAGCCAAATAGAACTCCATTAATGCATTCTGGTCTGCTGTTCTTGAGTCGTGCTTTCCAAAAATCTAAACAAACTGAAGAATCATCTCTGTGGAGTCCTTGCAGAATGATGCCCACAACAGGATCTAGTTGCTGTACAAAACAATTTAATGTTAAGTACTTGAGTAAAGTACTTACAAGCTTACTGAACACATAATACCAAATTTCAAACAATGTATGTGCAAAAAGAAAAACAACAGCCACTTGTTAGTTCTGTTTCATCACCCTGACACAGCAACGAGATGGTCATTTCTTCTGTTGACTCCTGCTGAGACCCAGAAACCTCATCTCTGTTTACAGCAGATCCAATTTTTGGTGCTTGTAATAGAATCTGGGGAAAAAAAAAAAGGGATAAATAACCATCAGTAAAGTGGCACATTCTCAAGTGTCAGAGAAAGCTCATTGATCTGACCAGCTGCTGAGATGGTCACTAGATATCCATGCTACCATTTGTTTGGAGGAGTCTGCATCTTGCAGGTCATTTGCCAGTGAGGAGAGAACAGTAATTTTGAGTACATGTACATTCCTAATGAAAACCAGCATCATCTCAAAACTCCTTGTGCAGAGAATAAAACATTCAGCATAAAACCTGATCCCAGGATCCTCTAGAAAAGCAGGAACAAACCTAAACTTTTGTTCTGACACCACCACTTGCCTATTTGTGACTACCAAGTACAACCTGTGCTCTGTATTACCACAATTTTCCTAGGACACATGACCTAACATCCTAGTTCTTTGACCTGTGCAGAAGTTCATTAATTCAGTTCATTAATTAATACATACACACACTTAAAAGCACTTCTCTGCATTCTAGATGCTGCATGTAACTCCACTGGTAATAAAGTTGGAGAGTATTTGGAGCTAAGAGACTGCAAATGAAAATCTCTGTATTTTTGAAAGCTGTCACACTTAGGCAGTACCTCTGCATTGAACTAAATGACACACAGCTTGCAGAAAACTTGCAGACATTGTGAAGAACTACTTTAAACTTTGGAAGACATGTGCCATCCAGTGGCACACCGAGAAACTTCACCAGGTTGGGAAAGGCAGGGGGTTTTACCTCTGTGGCAGTGATGAGACAGTTCTGTTCACAGTTCTCGGTTTTGTTTAACAAAAATCTAGGAAGTGAAGAAAGGAGCTTCCCCTGTGTTAAGGGTTTCAGGAGAAAAGGACAGAAACCTTAAGGGAAACTGGTGATTTTTAAAGAAAAACATAACTGATAACTTGAACCACTTTGAGGATGGGGGGGGAATACTGAGTGTGATATAAACCACACCAATGGCTGAAAGCTCAAGCCAGACTTACCCTAGAAATAAAGACAGGATAATAATTTATTAAAGAAGGTAACTCTTCTAGGGAATCTCCACACCAGCAGGGAAACCTGAAGTTGTGTTTAGAATCACAGAACCATTGAATGGCTTGGCTTGGAAGGGACCTTAAAGAGCATCCCATTCCACCCCTGCCACGGGCAGGGACATCTTCCACCAGCCCAGGCTGCTCCAAGCCCCTCCAACCTGGCCTGGGACACTTCCAGGGGCAGGGCAGCTACAGCTTCTCTGGGCAACAAGTCACTTCAAGAGTAAGTTGAAGAGGCACAGATATTCCCAGAGTCACCTAGAGCACCTTCTGGCCTTGATTAGGATATAGCCTATGACTGTATCGATTCCTGTCCTAAAGATCCCTGGAGGAGAAAGTGTTAATGCAGTGTTAGTGAAGTACTGTTGCACAAGAACACTGTTAAGTCAGAAATTTGAAGTTTTCTGCATCTTTTTAGCCTTGTGACTTTTCAAAATATTCAGACTTCAAAAAGAAAACAACCACCCTTAACCACTTAACTAACCAGTTACCATCTGCACAGTGAACCAAATCTTCATTCTCTTACCTTCAGGCACTCCTTTGGGAAGGGAGAACTCTTCCCTCTTAACTGGAGCTCGCAGGAGCCTGGAAGGCCTCTGGTGTGGTGACAGTCTAACAATGGAGCAGATTTCTTCTGTGTCATACAGAGGCTGAGAAATTAATGACATTTCATTCACACAACTATTCCCATTGAAGAAATAGTCTTTCAGCTTTCTTCTAGGGAAATCAGAGATGACATGCAGATTTCAAAGGGTGCCACTAGAAAACATTTAGAGCTACTTGTGTACACTTAATATGCTATTTTAAAGGCTGAGAGAAAGCTTCAAAGCTTAAACATTCTCTTCAGCTCTTTTAACACTGTAAGGTTTAAATATACAGTACATACTAGAATGCTAAAGCTGGATTTAAAAAGTGCAATAAAATTAGAACCTTAAAAATATTCTTTTCTTCTGGACTTTGAGGAATAATTTCTTTTTCTGAGCTCAGAGATGCAGGAACAATTTCTTCTGAATTTACATATGGACCTGTGGTATTCAGGAACAGGCTTTCCCCAGGTGAGGCTTTGCACACTGGCGACAAGCTGAGCTACAGCTCCATCAAAATACAAAATATACAGGAATAACTGCCAGTTAAATAACAGACAACAATTCAGACTGGCTAATGCTTGTTGGTTTATGCAAAAGATGTTCTATTGCTTCAGAAAAATTATTTAGGACTGCAACAAGACCTTGATGTTCTCTATTTGTTAACCTAGCATGCATTAACTCAAGTGGGCAGAGACAAGGGGCAGTACTGTACTACCTGCACTGCCACAGAATTCAAACTGGCATTTAAATACCAAATTTGTATTGAAGTGGTTGTGCAACTAAGGCTACTACTTCTGGGTTTACATTAGAAGCCGTTGTAAAAATACAAACCAGATTCCTAGGTTGGGTTGCTTGGGGTTTTCTAATTGTCCAGCTAATAGAATTTATCACAGTTTGTTGTGCAATTTGCATAGTAACATGTATAGCCACAACTGGACTGTGCCACAAGGAATGACTTCTTTGGTTTGGATCATTAAAAAAAGCATTGGATAGACACTCACCTCTAGCTTTGCAAGCTGAGCATTACCAGGACTTTTTAGGGCTTTATTTTCCTCAACGACCAGCATGGTGGAAGTAATTTGCTAAACAAAAGCAGAGAAGAACTCAGTATCAGATTCAAATTCTATGCTGTTTATTATTACTCCTACAATGCCCCCTTAGTGCACAATAGTATAAGAACTCCATTTAGAATTACTAATACTTCTTCAGATTTAAGAACTGAATTCCTGTCATTCACTTTTTTTTTTTTTTTGTCTCATGCTTTCCAAAATTAAGACACAGAATTAGTTTACGGCAGCACAGACATTTCAGGCGTGGCACTTCCTGCCACTTCTCCTATTTAATTGTAACTTTTGCCAGAATTCAAAACTCTCACTTCTCATTTCATGCCACTGCTAATCAGCAGGACACAATGGGGATACTCACCACCACAGCAGCTGTTGGTTTGGTTGGCACAACTTGTTCAGGCAACCCCCCTGATCTGGCTGAAGTGTTTCCTGGGGCATCAAGCTGCCTGAAGGATGATGAACCTTCTCCTGCCAGATTAGAAGCGTGTTCTGTTTTCTTACGCTTCAGCCTTTTGGGTTTAGCAGTTTGCTTGTCAGGCTAAAGAGGGAAACAATCACATCTGGTATTACAAAGGGAATCTCTGTAGCCTGGCAAGCATTAAAAAAGAGTCCCTCTGTCACAGTCAAGCTCTACACACTGACTCAGTAGCACTGGCAAAGCCAGTCTGAGGAACACTGAGCTCGGGGCTTCCATGACTGTTACTCTACCGAGAGGGAGAGGCAAGCTACGTCCTCACTCTCTGCCCTGGCTGCAGGCACCCCTGCCACAAGTGCAGCACCAACTACTCCTCCTCTAGGTGGAGTTTTCCACCCACTGAAGGCAGGAGCAAGTCATTTGTGTCACAAGCTTGCTGATTTATTAAGGATCTTTCACCTTGCTGTCCGGTCCTAAGGGTGAAGCACAGCGCATACCACTTTCTAGGTCTGGAGTTCTCTCTCTTGCAGCTGTAATTTTATAGAGCTTTTTTCCTGTGACAAATTTCCAACAAATTAATTAACTTTGAGACAAAGACCAGAGCTACTCTCCACCCCACGTCTTACAGGATGGTTTTCACAGAGGAATAATTCCAAAGCCACCCATGTAAACACAGCTACTCCCTTCAATACAGTCCTCCTCTCCCTCTGCCCACCAGCAGGACTGCTTTACTGCTCTCCCGTTCCTTAAGGAAACAAGGTTGCTTATTAACCTTATCTTCCCCTGGCTGTTCACTGCTGGACACACACACTGTGGGAGCAGACACCTGCACAACCACAGCACTCTTTGCCAGTGGCAACTTCTGCTGCTGTTACCGTTCAGATTAAGCAGGCACCTGGGCCACAGAACTGCATCAGGCACAGGTCAGAACTGAGCTCCACCAGGGACTCACTGGGACTCGTGAAGCTGGCATGACATAAGTAAAGGCCATGACACAAACAGTTCTGTTCCTGGGTAAGTTGAGTAAGAAATGTCAATTTTCATTGAGCATCATGGGCCATTAAATGGAAGAATGCAGGGTTTGAGACTTTGGTTGGTTGGTTGTTTTTTTTCTCCTAACATGTAAATTAGAAACAAGTTTTATTTATAGGGAAGATTTTCTCAATATACACTTTTCCTTCTAGACACAATTGAGCTTAGCCTGTGCTGGAGGACAAATGATCCAGGAGAAGCCTGGTTTAGAAACTGTGCCATCATTTAAGTTTGGGTAGCATATTCTGTTCTCACAGCTAGTACAACTGCTTCTGGTCATATTTTACCTGACAGAGTAGCTGAAATGCCTAATGCTGAAGAACTGTAATTGCAATTTGATGGTCTCTTTCTAGGAGAGGAAAAAAAAGTGAACAACTATTCTGAATGAATGTTAATATTTTAAAAACCCTACAAATAAAGAAATCCTAGGAAAATACAGGCTGAGTGAAAAGGGATAAAGCTTATTTTAAAAAATATTGTTACGGAGTTGCTTCATCACACCTTACAGTTATCTGATAGTTTATCATCAACTCACAGCTTATGCTGAGGATACCTGCAATTCCTTAAGAACATAAGAGATCTGCCCCCAAACCTGATTTTTTCCTGGGGAAGCACAGAATGCCAGAGACTTAAGAAGGACTTGACAACAGGTACCCCTCATAGTCTGTGCTGCACAGCAAGCCTGGCCAGACAGCTGGGCACACACCTCTTGCTGCCTGTGACTGACTGAATCGGACAGGATTAGTGCAACTGGATAAAAGCAACTTATTTGGGGGTTTTGTAAATAAACGTCACCTTCCTCCTCCATAAAATCCTTCACTGAGTTCCTCTATCAGCTTCCCTAGAGCTGCAAGGCCAAGCCAGAAGTCTGTAAGGCAAAGTCTTCCCTGACTTAATGCACCAGTTTCAAAGTCAGTGAGGACACAGGTAGCTCAGACTCCACAGAGGGGTTTGCAGGAGCAGAGGCTTATTCATATTGGCCTTTCTTTAAAGCATCAGTCAAAAGAGAAAAGCCTGAACATTTAAGTGCATCAGAGAGTCTGCTGTGCAGATTACCTTCTAATGCCCTGGTCTTGAAAATCCTTTAGTACAGGTTCTAAGAAAAAGAAAAAAAAAAACAACATAAAAGCTACACTTTAAACAAAAAGGCTAAGACAGCTTAGACCTGACAATGTTTTAGTGCAAACTAATTTCTAAAGCACACACAGCAAACACAGATCAGTAGCAGGGAGCTGCTCCCCATTATGCAGACAGGCCTTACATAAAATGATCATTATATACTTTATGTCAGTTTCTTGCACCAGAAGGAAATTTATGTATGTATCCTGAACAATTGTAGAAAAGATTTACCTAATATTGCTGAAAGATTTGAGAGCTGTGCTATCTTATCAATGGTCACTGCTTTGCTGGAGTCCAGTAGAGTAGAGTTCTTGTACTTGCCAAGGTCCACAGAGTAAAAATTACTTCTTTCTGCATATAAAAGATATAAGTGCAGGCTTCTTATGCTGAAATTCATCCAGTGACTAAATCTGTGACAAACTGAAGCAATCACATTTGCAGGACAGGAACTAAATGAAAGCATTGTCTTGGCTCAAACAGCTGCAGAAAAGTTTGGAAGGAATTTGACTCAAAGCACTGTGGTGGGACATCCCCAATAAACAGCTTGTGTCAACTCTGAATACTTCAAGCTTAAAGTGTGATGCAAATTACACCTGGACCTGATTCATCTGGACTGGAGGACCAGATACACAGATTCCACGTTAAGGACAGGCTGGCTTAAAGCAAAGCTGTGACCTGGTGGGGCACACCCAGAGAGGCCACCAGTCTTTCTATTGTCAACAGTCTCCCCACATTTTCTACATCAAATAAAGCTCAAAAAACCCCCAAAGTCTCACCTGAATCATCATCTCTGAATGTTTCAGGGGATGAGTAACTCTGCAGGCTGCCACTAGTATTGTTAGAATCTGCAGTTGAATCGACATCTAAACACTCAATGAGAAAGGTTGAAACACCTGTGGGAAGAGTCATTTCTGTACCTACAGAAAGAGACAAAAAAGGTGGCTAAAGAAAAGTATCATCTTGTAGAAACCATCAGGATTTCCTTATTTAAGTTTCATTCCTGTGATGAGCTAAATATTGTAAAGTCAGTACTTTATACTGAGTCATAATGCAATTCAATAAGCAAAGGGCATCCTGAAGCCAAATTTACATCACCATAAGCTAAGAGAGGACACTTTCCTTGCCCAAGGCTCACAAGACACACCTGAAGAGCTCAGCCTCTGATAGGGTAATTCTTCAACAGGTTTGTTTTCAGGACAAACTATTTCATCACAAGCTTTTAAAAATGCAGGTTTGAGTAAACTGAAGAACTCATGTCCACAACTCGTTCTTACATAGATATAAAATACAGAGATAAAAGTATATTTAATAACATCATGTGTTGCCATTATACTCACTTGAATTCATTTCAGCATTTTGCAAATTTTCTTTACTTTCGATGTTGATCATTGAGGATTTCTAAAATTAAAGGACCAATACAAACAACTTGAGAAAACTGGATGGAGACAAAGAAATGCAATTAAACGTCATCTACACTAGCAGATGCTTAGAAACTCATTGTCTGGCACTTCACCACTTAAACTTGCTATTCACAGTAATTTGTGCCACGTTTTTTCTTGCATCATTAACAAATCTGCAATCTGACTTCTAGTTCTAAAAGTCATCCTTTGGTCCTACAATCAGTCTTTCCTCGATGAGATGCCAGTGAGGTCATGCACAACAGCAATGGAGTAATGAATTTCACTGCCTTTTGAAGTTTCTTTTAGAGACCCAATTCTTACTCTCAGAATCCTAAACCATTTCTCTAAATATAAACTATGATGTGTAGGCAGTAGATTCTAAGTTCAGCCTGAAAAACGAGTGTGTTCTCCTGATTATAAAAACAATTTACCATGTCACATTTGATTTATCCTCCAGACAATTACTAGCAGATAAAAAGCAAGACACCATTCTCACCCTCAGTGATACACTGCTTTCTTCTGATTCCTCTTCTTCTTTTTCCAAATCTCTTGTTTCTCTGACAGTCACTTGATTGCTGCAGTTGATAAACAGAACTAAGTTCAACCACAGAGCTACACTGTCTTAAGAGAAGGCAAGGACTACAAAGTATCTTTATGGGATGCCAATAAATAGTCTGGCAAACATCAGTGTACTGATAATTCAGACTGCGTAGCTCCAAGAGCCACCTCACAAAGCAAAACAATAAAAACAATTAGCTAATGTTAATAATGGTGTGTCTGAATGAGTTCTAACAGACCTTTGGTTGCGTGAAGGGCTCTCATCAGTGAGTTCAACATTTTCTTTAATTTTTGGTAGGGCTTTCCCACTGACCTTTTTCTTCAGGCCTAGAGAAAAATAAGTATTTACTTCAGTAATGATAATTTCAGTATTAGAACTTAGATTACTATTTCTCATAGGGCACCTTTAGCTATTTCCCCTCTCCATGCCCCTAACACCTTTTTGACCGTATTATCACAAACAAATGTTGTTAACAAGAAAGCCTCACCTTTAAATTACCAAGCCCAGGATGGGATCAACACATCCCATGCTGGTCTTCCCCACTTACTTTAGCTACTCTGTCAGCCTTGAATCCCATCCCTTCCCCTCACACTGCATTTGGTTTCTTAAAGGTCTGCAGTTCTTAACTTGGTTAAGACTGCATTCAACGGGGCAGCTCCTGAGCAACAACTGAGCCGTTTTTAAAGAATACTCCCAAGGGGAGCAAGGCTTTTGTCTGGCCCTTTCTACAGGGCCCCTTCCACCTCGCGATGTTCTCCCATCGGACGGCGGGGAGGCCACTTCACAACGGGAAAATCTCTTTTTATGACTAACTAGCAGCCAGACCAGAGGAAACACTCCTGCTGCCAGAACAGCTGCCTGCCCTCCCCGAGCCGTGAGGGACACGGACCACAACAAACCACCTCCCGTCCTCCCGCAGCCCCGCCGGGCGCAGTGCGAGGCCCCGGCGTTGATAAAGCCCCTCCCGCGGCCCCGACACCGGGCACAGCGCAGGATCCCCCCGGCCCCGGCCCCGGCCCCGGCTGGCCCCGGCCCCGGCCCGGCCCGGCCCCGGCCCGGCCCCGGCTCCGGCCCCGGCCCCGGGCAGCGCTCACCGCGGGGCTCGGGCCCCGCGCTGCCGAACAGGCTGCGGCGGCACGGCTGGGGCGGCACGGCCCGCCGGCCCGGCAGCGCGGCCAGGCCCGGCAGCGGCGACTCCCGGCGCTTCTTGCGCGGCGCCTTCGCGGCGCGGGGGCCGCGGTCCCGCTCCATGGGCGGCGGGAGCAGCGGCGCTGGCCCCGGGCGGGCACACCGGGCGGGCACACCGGGCCTGGCCCAGGCACAGCAGGCTGCCACACGAGCGAAGGGCCCAGCCCCGCGGCCCCTCAGCCCAGCCCGCCCCGCGGCCCCGCCCGCATGCGCGGGGCGGCCCCCCCGCCTGCCCTGAGGGCCGGGAGCGCTCCCGGTGCGAGCCCGGCCTGGACCGGCCCGGGACACTGCCCGGGCTGGGGCAGCCACAGCCGCTCTGCGCATCCTGTGCCACGGCCCGCCCACCCTCCGAGTAAAGAATACCGTGTATGAAAGCGGAGTGAATAAATCGTGCGTGGTACCCCCTTCACTGATCACTCCCCTGTTCCAGCCGTGAGGGATCTGATAGCTCAGATTCTTCATCTGATAGCTCAGATTCCTCATGTAACGAAGCAAGCTCACAGAACCACAGTCCGGGTTGGGTTGGAGGGGACCTTTGTAAAGCCCATCCATTTCCATCCCCTATTATCCCACATGTTCCAAGGCCTGTCCAGCCTGGCCTCCGACACTTCCAGGCATCCCTGGGTTTCCAGGTGGAAGGACATGCAAGTCACGCAAGAACCGGAGGAGAGCCCAAATGCTTTGAAACTTTATTGGTTTAGACACATAGTCTGAAAAAATACTATGCATTCCCAATTGTCAATTCATATTAAACAAGCATATACATTTAGTTATGTTATTCCTGATTTAAAATTATTAAAAAAAAAAAAAATGAAACCATTACAGAAAGACTTCAGCATCTTCAGAGAGATTTGCAACAATTTTTTTTTTTTTGTAGGAGATTGCTAAAATCAATCTCATGTTCCAATATTCCTTTGGTTGTTATTTTATTTTACATAATTTATTGTTTTTACAACACGTTTAGTCTAGGCACGCGTTCTGAACAAACTTCATAACGATGGTGAGGACAGAGCGTAGCTGGAGGAACAACAGATTTTAAAAAAGAGCTTTTATTGTATGTCAGTCCACAAGAAAATCTCATGAGCACTTTTGAGAAAGGTGAGAAGTTAGTTCTTTACAAAAGTTTCCATAGATGACTCTTTGATATACATGCTAATATACCAAAGGTGAAAAACCTTTAATTACAGTTAATTTTTTTTTACACAAATGTATACGTTATATTTTAACCCCCTTCACTTTCATTTGAAAATAGAATAAGCAACACTCACCAAAATACCTCATTTGTTCACTGCTTTTACTTTGCTAAAATACATAACAAAAAGCTGAAATGAAGGGCTTAAAGGGGCTCCAGATGCCTCAGAAAACATTTTATTTTGGAACAATTCCAGGGATCTAAAGCTTTTTCCTTCCTGGACTACAAGCATCCAGGTCTCTTCTCTGAAAAGCTTCCCCATTTCACAGGAGCAAAGGTGATGTAGAGACCACCACATGTGCAAAATGCTGAAGAAAGTTAATTCCAAGAAGAAACAAAGATCTAATTCTGATTTTCTTCCTCCAGAGAAAACCAAAGTGAGCTAAAATACAAAAAATACGCCGATAGAATTGCCTCTAAATAAAATGCTTTTCCCAGTTCTCTGTAAGGCATCAAGAGGTCTTTAAGTAACCTATTACCATGCAAAAATAGTATATTCTTTCCCAGTTTACATTCATCTTGTAGCATTTATTTACATATAGATCAGCAGTTTGTGCTTTTAACACACGTAAAATTAAAAAAAAATATCTAAGTTAATTTTTTAATTCCAGAAGATTAAGTCAGATTATTTTGTTATATGCGAGGATTTCGTATTCATGGCAGAAACGAGACTGGACTGATGCTGATAGATACTGACAGTGAGGGCAGACTGCAAAGTAGTACTTGGTCAATAAAAACTCCCCCTCTCTCTCTCACCTGGTGTGCGTCAAGCATGTCCAACGGCAAATGTGCCCTTCAGGACAGATTATTCCATGTGCTTCCCGCCCACGTGGGGTCAGGACCCTGCTCTGGTTTCTGCTCACGCCTGGTGCAATACACTGAGCTAAGAACACACAAAATACAGAACTAAGCGAGGTTCTCTTCCTGGAAAAGGTTTTTTATTCCAGTTTTTATATCTGAGAGTCTTGCAGTGGTTCCAGAGGCACAGCACCAGGCTCAGGAAGAACCTCCCATGCCTCACAACGTCTAAGAACACAGTACTCTGCAAAAAGAGTCTCCACTCTTTAAATAAGATGAATAATAGAAACTAATTTTATAACTAGTTATCTCGAGGGGGAAAAACCCCAAAAACTGAACAACTGCTTATTGGACAGCCCTGGGGATTTTTCCTTGGTGGTCACAAGAAGTGTTTCAGTTTAAGAAAGCTCAGTACAAAATAAATATTCCTGGAATTTGAAGAGAAGCAAGATTGGGCTGAGCTCATGCCTTACACTGTCTGCTTTTCAAGTGTTAATCTCTTACAGCATCGTTATGATTATGGCAAGAGAGAGCGACCTGCAGAGGAAAATCTGATTACACCAGAAAGTATAAAAGAGAGCTTTTAGTTTATTTATGTAACTTTTCACAAGTTCTGAAAGTATTCACACTTTTGGTGTGACAACACAATTTCTCCCAGATTTTGCACCATCCTCGAGTGGCCAAGTCTGTATTTTTCCTTTCTTATTCTTTTGGTGTTCATCTCTGGCTCTAGTGCATCTGACATTTTGCATGAAATACCAAAAGAAGAATACAGATCTATTATTCAGCATTATTTATGTAAAAACAACAGCCATTTAAGCTGTAAATAAACTCATAGTGAGATCTTTTATACTTACACAGAGTTTAGTTGTCACGGAAAGCCTGCAACCACCTTAGGAAAAAAGTAAATTAAACTCAAACGGTAGAAAAAGGTCAGTGAAAAAACAGCTTTTCTCTGCTTATAGGGATGACTAGGCTTTGGGGTTTTTTACTTTAAAACCCTGTTGCATTAAAACAGACAGGAAATTGTACTGAATCTAATTCTCCATTGCTCTGGAGCTTTATGCATGTAATGACTGTCTTTTGGCTGGTCCAAAAAGGAGATGAACCAGACTGTGCCGAGATAAGAACCCTTTCTGACCTAAAGAGCCGCATTTGACACAGTAATTCCCGCGCTCTGCAGACGTGGTGCACAAACTCCCCAGGGATGCTGCTGCTGTGTACCCTGGTGAAAAATGAATGTGTGATCCCAGCAGATCTCAGATATTTCGCAGTTGCTTTGAACTGATGTGAATCACTGAACTGGAATCAAATGAGGAATCGGGCGCAAAGAGGGATTCAGACAAACGCACGTTTGATAAATCAAATCGCCACATTCCGTATGAGTCATCATGTTACTGATGCGGTTTCCTTTGTATCGTTTTATTCTGAAATCACTTCAATAAATCAGTCTTCGTGTGACACTAACCCGTTCATTCGGTTTATTTCATTTGGAAGCATGCAACGGAATTCCAGAGGGAAAGTAAGAGACCGTTTAGATTAAAAATTTTAACTTTTAGCTTTAAAAGTCTACAGCGGATTCCAGTTTAAGAGAAAAAAATAAGTGTGCTTTCACTGTCCTAGCAAAGGTCTAGCAGGCACAGCTCCATGCTAGTATGCACTGGTGCAACAAAGAGCAGCTAGTACAATACACACAGATATTTAGGATCCAGTTTAGCAGAAAGAAGCCATCGACAGTCCACGTATTCAAGCGACTTGACATGACAGTTTTCTCATTGTTTTGTACCGTGCTTTGTATCAGGAGAGAGCTCTAGAGTCTGTTCCTGTTCCTTGTGAGACTTTTCTCCTTTCTGATGACCACAGAAATCTAAGGTTTCATCCAGACAACTTCCTGTTTATTCCAGAGAGGCCACTGGAAGTGATGCCAGCGTGACTTGATGCTCCCAGACGTCTGGACATGGAGCTGTTTTCTCAGCAGGCCTTTCTGCCCCCACATCCAGCGTTCTGCCATCCCGTGACACCTGGCACAGGGGTGGCTAGCACAGCCTCTCAGCATGCCATGGGCCCTTGGGAGCAGGGTTCCTTCCCTACCGTGGCCACACAAAGGATGCCCCGCAGTGCTGTGCCTCAGGCTGGCCTCTTCCCAAACCCCTTCCTCTTGCTAAGCCCCATCCACAATCCCAGCTCATTCCTTGTGCTCTGTTTCTCCGGCGCTGTTTCTGAAGGGGAGTGAGTCCAGCTGGACTACGCAGAGTTAGCAGCGTGTAGAGTAACCAGTTAGGGACTGGGAGCAGGTGGATTATCCTGAACTCCCACCAAGAGCCGCCTCAGAGCCAGCAATGCTTTTGCAACCTTCTCAGTTTGAGCAGTTCAGATGTCCATGAGTGCACTGGGCTGCAGGATCAGCATGCCATGGATAAACTGCGTTGGGATGAAAAGGAAATAGAGGGAACTCTATCCTATCGCTGCCTACCCTGTTCTTGCAAGTGCAAGGTAACATTTATCCGTTAGGTGGAATACACTAAAAGGTCTATTAAGTTCAGATAGCAGGAGATTCCTTCCTATTTCTATTCTGGTTGTTAGTTAGGTCATTAATGATTAAATCAAATCAATGTCATTTATGTCCTGGAAAATATAAAAACTATCACTTCATATATAATCCGATATCCAGCTTGAAGTTCCAAATCAGAGAAAATAGATTTTCACTTTCACCATCAATCACTGATTGTTTGAGGTAGACCACATTATTGAATTATCCATAATTTTAGTTCTTAATGTGTTAGGTTATATACAATCAAATATTAACAGACATACCTGAAATTTTCCCTATTTTAATTAGAAATGCTTGTAGTTATTAATAAGTTTCCATAATTTAGTCATAGATTGAAATGTCTGTATATTTTGTGGCAATTCAGCATGATTCTTAGTAGTACCCTGTGCATAGAGTAAAAAAGAAATTGTATCACACCTGATGGAAAAAAGAAGGAAAAATATGGTTAGTGGGAAAATCCTAGAACAATGAAAGGCTCAAATATAAGATTCAGGTGCTTATCCATTTCAGCAGTGTCGTTCTGGCTCTGTACTTTTTGAGTATTATTCTAATATTGCTATGAAGTCCATTACTCAGGAGATTCTTCCCGTGATTTCAGATGGAGATGCTTGAATACAGCTCTTCTATTTGCTTTTTGAAGTAATCTCTCAGTTCTGGTCTCTTAGCCTTTAACGTCGGTGTCAACAAACCGTTCTGCACCGAGAACATATCGGAGTGAATGTAAATGGCTTTGACCTAAAACAAAAAGGGGACATGTTTATAGTGAAGGCTACAGGCATCACACTCAATAAGGGTCACTTTTTATGCTGTGCTTGCCTCCGGCGGTGCCCGCAGCCCAGGGCACTCCTCCCCAGCATTTCCCTCGCCTGCCCACAGAAGGGAGCCCTCCAAGAAAATGGGCACATGAACCTCTTTTCTGTATGAAACCAAGGCCAGAGCACAGCGAGGCAGCACAGGAGGGACAGTGTCACCATATGTGAGGTCGTCCCTGCAGTGTCACACGGCTGAAGGGCGATGGGGGAGAGGGCAAGGACAGGGAGCTGTGCCAGGGAACATCACCTCAACCCCACTGCAGAAGTAAGCACTGATTCAGTCTTGCAAAATTATCATGAAGCTCTGCAGGCACAAAGTGTGTACATGATGTTCAGAGAGGATTTTAGCTAATTACAGCCATATGAAATCCCCCAGCCTGTGCAAACGGCACTGCACAGGGCTGCCCTTGTTGGAGGCAGTGGCTCCCAGCACAGCAGGAGCCTGGCAGCACAGATGGGAGCCAGCCTGTCCTTCCCCTGCTGGTGTGGGAGAAAGCAGACAACTGCTGCCTGACTGGTCATAGTCCACTGATTTAAGACAAAACTCCCCAGCCATCTGCTGCTTTCGTGATTCCCCAAGTCAGGCTGCCTTGCCGTTTGCTTGGCTGGGAGTTGCAGGAATGTAGGCTGCAAATCCATTTTCTATTCCTGTTCCTCCCCCTGTGACATCCTTCATAAAATCAGAATTCATGCTATTAGTGCTCCCCCCACTTGCTGCACCAGCTTTCAGAGCCTGGAAGCTGATGGTTTTAGAAGCCAGAGCTGTCATTTCCAAGACAGAGATCCAAGTGCAGATGAGGACAGGGATGATAAAGAGCATCCCACATAAGCAGGGGATCCCATCCCACCGGAACATTAGCTACAATATCTGGCTCAAAATTTGATTTTAAGATTACACACTGCAAGAGAGATCAAGTTATGAAGCCGTTTAGTTTTGACAATTAAAACATGTATTTTTTATTCTAATCTATTATTATTTTATTCTAGTTTTTAGAAAGATGGCAAGGCTTTCCTACTACTTCATATTTTATTAACTGCAAACTGCTGGTAGAATTGATTACTTGAGAATATTTCATACTGTGAAAACCATGGCAAAGGCAAACCAGACCTATTAGCACAGACAATTATGTGCATTACAAACTGTGCTCTATATAGAATTTTTTTAATTAATTTCTTTTTGCTATCATTTCATTTGAACAGGTAACTGAGAAATGAAGAACAACAGGGTTATGTTTAACGATCCTTCTGCTCCACTCCAATATGGTGAATTACTCATTAGAATTATCACCCAGGAACAGTGTGAACAAAAGAAAAAGGGCCCTTGCTAATTATATGTAACAATTAAGACGTTCATTATTTTAACAGAAATAAGCATTTGACATTTTAAAATGGGGTGGATAATTTTGCTGTGGTTTTAATGCTATGTAATCCATGGTTGATTTCAGATCTCTCCTGAGGTGTTTGTAGCTCTGTTGCAGAAGTATTTCCACAAGCACCAGGAAAGAATTAGTGCCCAGACTGAAGACAAAGAAACCAGAAGCATTCTGAGGTCATGTATAAGACCGGTAATTAGTGACCCAGTTTCTAACAGAGCTTTCAGTGGCAGAAGAGTCAGACTCCTACAGATGTTTATCTTGACCTCTGGTTGTCAGTCTGGAGATTATCCATGTCCCTGACTTAGATTTTGACCTCTGCACCCAAAACTTTTGTCCAGAACTTTAATTCAAATTTCAAGCACGCCTGGGATGCAGACTCACAGCATATACATTTTTTCAAAGGAACAAATGTAACTTGCCAGCAATAAAACTCTTTCCAAAAACATCATGTGCAGCTGCAAAAAGGCTTTGTAGTAACGTAATAAATGCTGACAAATTCCCCTTCCATACAAACAAATTGCCTGTCTGACCACACTGAATGATGTGTTAATTGTTTCATTTTACCTGCTCAAAGGAGTGGAGCCCACTCTCCTTCCCCAACCGTACCATGTCTTCCATTATTGCTTGCTTCAGTTCCTGGGTTAAAACACAAATTCCTCATGAACTATCAGAGTCAGCCTTGCATGCAATTATTGCTCATTGTTCATTCTATTGCTCATTGTTCATTCATTGTTGATTCTATGACTCATCAAAAAACATGTTTCTGAGTAAAGTTCAAGTGCCTTATTGAGAGTTAATACATAATTAACAAATAAGCTATTAAAGAAGTGTACAAACATTAAATAACTTTGTGTAGTGATATGATCTGTCTCCTTGGTATGAAAAGTCAAGTTCTACTTTCAAACCAGCTATGTGACATAGCTGTTTGATTTAGTGCTTCAGCCACCTGCCAAACTGTGCTGCAGAATCACTGCCCACAGACACCAGTGGGATGGTTCAGTGGCGCCAGGGTTTACTGATGTGATCCCATGCAGTCACTCAGGATTACAGAACACGTGTAAATGAGGCTGGGATCTTACATGAATCCTACAGTGGCCTGAGATGAGAGGGACCCACAAGGATCACTGAGTCCAACTCCCAGCCCTGCACAGGACAGCCCCAGGAATCCCACCATGTGCCTGAGAGCACTGTCCAAACAACACCTCTGGAGCTCTGGCAGCCTTGGTGCTGTGACCACGTCCTGGGGAGCCTGTTCAGTGCCCAACCACTGCCTGGGTGACAACCCTTTCCCTAATATCCAACCTGAACCTCCCCCAACACAGCTTCATGCTGCTCCCTCAGGTCCTGTCACTGGTCACCAAGAAAAAAAACAGTGACAGGTCTTACTCAGACAGGGTATGGTGCACACATAATGCTGCAGTGAAAGGAATGTCCACCCTGCAGGTACAAACCTTATTTTTACAGAGTTCTGCATATGTTCCATCAAACCCTCTTTTCTTTGCCCAGCCTGGCATAACTTCAGAATCAGGCACCACAATTCCCACCAGGAAGGCCTGCAGGTGGAGGAGAAGGAGAGTTGCAGGCAAAAGCTGAACCACATTCAAATGAATACACAAGTCCAGTGAATTTCTGTGTGTTTATCATTCGTGTTTAATTATGTCAATAATTTGCTAACGTGCCATAGTGGAGTGTATTTTGATGTTTGTGCCTTTTCTCAGTTAAAGGGTTCTTTGTCACTGTTCCTGCATTTGGCAACAATCTTAACACCCTCAGCTGGGTTTGTGTTGTGCTTGGACAGTAATACCTCCTGTTTTTCAGAAGCACAAGCCAGAGCAGAACAGAGCCCCTGCCATTTACACACCTGCAGTTCACAGCCCTGTAAGTCCCAGGCAAGCTCTGATGCCAAGGGAAAGCTCATGTTTGGGAGCAGTGAATGCAGAGGATGAACTGCATGGTTTCAGGAGCTGTACATGTGTGTATAAATGTGCAAATAAACAGACAAGGTTGGTCAGAATGAGCAGGCAGTGGTGGGAAGGCAGCAGTGGCTTTGCCTTCACCTGGCTTACCACAGGCACAGTGCAAAGGACAGCATGAGAGACCCGAAGGGTGACACCAAAGCCAGTTTAAGGGCTTGATCTTTGGCCACAGCCTGCTCCGAGCTGCTCAGGGTCACACTGGCAGCGCAGCTCCCGCCTGGCTGGCAGCCAGCTCCAGAGCAGGATGGACACGTTACGGCGTGATCCACTCACACTTCCCCCTTGTTCATGCCCAGCTCCCTGTCTTCTGTGTACAAAGAGAAAAGTAAGGCCTTCTGAAAGCTTGTTTTTTACCTGCAGGCTGTCTCCATGGACGTAGATCTGGGCCACAGGGTCGCTGCGGATGTAGATGTTCTCTATCTTCTCCGGTGCAATATATTCTCCCTGAGCAAGTTTAAATATGTGCTTCTTCCGATCAATAATTTTCAGAGTCCCATTCTGTTAGGAGAAAGAAATGAGAATTCCCAGAGAAGTTATTTAACCATTGAGACTCAGCAAGCAGTCTGGCTTTAAGAGAGCTTTCCACTGCCTGTTGAGCTTTCAAATACTTCACTGACATATCGAGCTTACTCTGCCAAACATAAACTTAATGCTTTGTAAAGACAGATCTGCTTGGGAATGTAAGTTCAGTCCTTGACAGTTTCCATGGGATAATACAATGGCCATGAGAAGTCAGTGTGTGACCGGTACGCACAGGTAACCATTTCCCAATGTCCCCTGTGTGAAGCCAGCCCTCCTGGTCCAGCGCCTCAGCTGTCTTCTCTTCATCTTTCAAGTAACCTTTGAACACATTGGGTCCTTTCACACAGATCTGAAAAACAGCCAGGGGTGATGATAAATTAGTTTCTTACTCTGCTATAAATACCAATTAAGCAGTCACTCACAAATATTGAAATATTTTAATGACTGTGCTCCACAAAATTAAAATAGGTTTATCCATTAAAATGGATTTTTTTCCAAGCTAAAGGAAATATGAAGTAGGGTTTACAGAACTGATTTGCTTGAAGTTGATTTGCATTCAATTTGCAGTTAAAAATAACAAGGTTATTCCAATAAGTTTAATTTTTGTGCAGTATAGAAATAACAGCAATGTAGAAATCATAGCAATTCAGCTCTTTTTAGCTGAACTAATTAATTCAGTCTTAGCTGTTCAAGGAATCAGGCTGGAACTACTGCCACAGCTCCTTTTTAATTAATGCTTTGCTGTTCTGTTGCTAAATGACCTTTTCCTTTCCTGATTGCAATATGTAACACATCAGCAACCATGCACCTTACAAAGGTAAAATACTTCTATAACTACATAACTACTTCATACAGTGTTAACTAATGAGAATTTGATATAAAAATGTGATTTGCTACCTCTCCTTCTCCTTTGGAAGCAAAATAATTCAGTTCTTCCACATCCTTCAATTTGATTAAGTTACAGGGCAAAGGGGCTCCTACATGACCTGGAAATCAAAGTTATCAAGTCACTTGTCATCTCTCCTATAAGCAATAATTAGCAGTTTATTATTAGTTACTTGCATAGTTGTAGATACACTGGGTGTTCTTGCAGAGCTGTGTCTGTGTGCAGAAATAATTTCCTCAATTAAGGTTTTGCACTATTAAGACTAAATACCCAAACCTCCTCTTCAGATGTAAAACCTATTTTCAAATAGCACAGAATGGTTTGGGTTGGAAGGGACCTTAAAACTCATCTTGTTGCAGCCCCTCTGCCATGGGCAGGAACACCTTCCACTAGCCCAGCTTTCTCCAAGCCCCGTCCAACCTGGCCTTGGTGTCCCAGTCCAGAATCCTCTAAAGAAATGTGCATTTCTTTTATCTCTGCAAACGGTGGAAGAGAATCATTACCTGATGTCCAGTCACCTGGAGTTGTAAAGGTGCATCCAGCTGTGCATTCTGTTTGGCCATAGCCTTCATAAACCTGACAAAGAGATGGGTATCTTTAGAAGAGCACAGAAGATTCCACTGAAATGCCAACACTGCCTTGTGTTGCACAGCCCTGGGAGCTGATCCTGCAGCTGCAATGCACGGGTGCACACTGACCACAGGGACACTGTCCCTGGCTCCTGCTGTGTACAACATTTCATTTCCATGACTAGAAATGACCGTGGCTCTGTAGAGCTGAAAACACTGAGAAGACCAGGTAAACACTTAGCCTTTGAGTAAGGAAATGTGCTGCTCTGTGAGAGGAATTTATTAGTGGGGAAAAAAGGTATTTTTGTGGGACATTTTGAAAATACACCTTTTCAGGTTTTTTCCTGCCTAACTTTAGGCTCTTGAATGAGATCTTTTAGTTGCTCTGGGCTTCCTAATCACAGAGAAATAATGCAGTGGGACATCTTAAGTGGGTTAGGCTGATGTCTGAAGATTATCTCTCCATTTACATAGAGAATAAAACTCGTGTAATGAAGTTCCCCAGCACAGACACATTTAATTGCACATAATTCAGCACTGAGAGGCAGGTGGGATGAGCCTCTGGGGTTTCTCTGGGAGATGCCCACAGCGAAAGCAGCTCTTGCCTGCTGCTCCCAGCGCAGCCCCACTGAGGGCTCTGTGGCCGCCCAAGCCCTGGTGCAGCTGTTGGGCCCATCCTGGTGGAGTGCCCCAGCTGCAGTTCTGGGGGTCTAACCTCTCCCTTCTCAAATCCCATGTGTTCTCATCAGCAGTGGATGAACAGCCCCGGAGAGCCGCACGAGCCCACCTGGCATCCGAGGGCGGCGCGGAGGAAGCCCAGGACAGTCGGAGAGGCAGGGGCAGCTCCTGTCACTATCATGCGGACACAGCCCCCCAGACTCGCCTGTTGGGAGCAAAGGAAAGCATCAGGAGCTACCACAGATGGCAAAAGCAGCAGCAAGAGCATTGCTTACACACAGCTTGCACAAAGGGCTCTCTCTAGGACAGATGTGGAAGGTTCCCTTGCCCATCAGGGGGTGGAATGAGATCATCTTCAAGGCCTCTTCCATCCAAACCGTTCTGTGATTCTATGATTCTGTGATGTGGAAATACAGACTGGCTCTGAAGCTTTCCTTAGGGATAAACCCCCATTCAGTGCACAGAGGAAGGAGTCCCCACACCCCTGGCAGGACGAGCTGCGCAGCCTCAGCTCCCATGGCTGCTGTGCCCGGGCAGGCTGAGCCCTGGCTCTGGGATCTGCTGGGAAAAAGCAGACTCTTCCCCCATCCAGTTTTCTTTGCTTATTTACACCTCGCTGGCTTTAATGAATTGCCTCTAAAGTAATGCTGTCCCTTTTTAAAGGCAGATGACCTTCAAATATTTCTGGAGGGTATTACATCAATTCCTGTGTCCCATTTTACTTCTTTCTCCTCCCCCTTCATTTCCTTTTCCTTGTTCTGAAAGTGAAAAAGAAAACCCAGCACAAAAGCAAACAACTGCTGACTGAGTCTGCCCGTCTCGCCAGCCCCTACATCAATATGCAGCCTGGCTTGCTCCTGGCTGGGTGAACTCTGCCATCTTTGCACACTGAGGACAGCTAATCCACAGACCACAAGTACAGGCAGTTTCTTTAGTTAAAAATAAAGTGGCATGCCTCTAGATAAGAAATTTTGACATTATGTGTGGTGTTTGTTTAAAAATGAAAACATAAATAAAAACGAACGTGGGAAAACTTCATGGAACAACAAACTGTGTTCTGTTTCCTTTTTCTGTTCAGTTTTCCAGTCTGCTCTTTGCTAGTGGGTAGCAATTGCCCAAAGTTCATCACCAGGCAAGTGGACCACATTGACTTCAGGGAATCATAGAATCAGAATTGCTAAGGTTGGGAAAGATCTCTAAGATCACTAAGTCCAACTGCCAACCCAGCACCACCACTACTAAACCATGTCCTCAAGTGCCACCTCCATACATTTTTTGAACCCTTTCAGGGATGGTGACTCCACCCCTGCCCTGGGCAGTGTTCAATGTTTGACAACCCTTTCCATGAGGAAATTTTTCCTGATATCTAAATGTCACTTGACGGAAAACCAGTCACTGCCAGAAGAAACAACAGTTCTTTGACTTCAGACTCACTTCTTAAATCACTCACCTGTATTTTGTTAAAGAAAAGCTTATCCCACAAACTGTCATTCCTAATGATGCCGTTTCGAACTTCCGCCTTTTTCCGTCTTGCAGCAAATTCCAGGATCCAGCGCTTGAGGGACGTGTCAGCCTGGCTGAAGATCTGCAGGAGCGCAGGGTGGCACCAGGGAGAGAGAGCAATCAACAGCTGTTCTTACCATTCAGCCACCCAGCCAGGGGGACAGCTGCATTGCAGCACAGGTAAAGGAGGCGACCCTGGGGCTTTGTTAGAGGGGGCAGAAGGAGCGGCGAGTTCCACTCCGTTCCCTGTTGTACCTGCTGTTCCTCTGGGGAGAAAAGGCAGGATGGTGGTGCAGGTTTTGACTAGACTGAGAGGGCCACTATTACTCTATTTTTTCCACAATAGGATCCAGTGAAGTCATCCAGTTTGAACAGCAGGGAATGAGCAGTGTGAATACTGGAGCAGGTCTCGGTGCTGCCTGATGCTGTGATGGGGCCGCACTTACCTAAGCTTAATCAGGCACCAGCATAAACTGTACACCCCAACAAACAAGAGACCCTCAGTGCCCATCCCTCTAATGAGGTACCAGAACCCCTGACCCAACAGTCCTGACCTTGGGGAAAAATTAAATCGGTAGCTTGTGCTTAAGCTTGTCTTTAGAGGATAAGTCTTCCGAGGAATAAATATTCCCAGCTCGTCAAACAGATTTAGCGTGATGACCAGACATGCCTGTCTTAAATACCTTGCAATACCTTTACCTTAGTTTTAAGGATTTCTAAATCCAAAAGCCACTCTCATATTTACACTGCCTAAATCCTCATAGGCTTTTTGAAGTTACTGATTTTCTGTTGCCACCAGAAAGAGAGATTCAAGTTTCAGAACTGGTTGAAGGGCACAAAAAGTCCTTGTGCAGCCAGGTTTGACTGATGTTTCTGTGATGAACAAATCCCTTGTGTCTAGAAATGTCACTGGTAAGCTCAGTGAGAACAGGGTAAGAGGCTAAAAAAGAGGGATTTCATATTCACACAGCTGTGTCTGGAGTCTGTGTAAATCATCATAATACAGACTTACAGAGGGGAGGAGCTGTATCGTTTGCACAGGGTGAGAATGTGTTTGCAGAAAGGCAGCAACATTGTGATCTGCTTGGGAAATCTCCATGACTAAGGGAATTCTGCCACATAAGTACTGAGGGGACCTAAAGTTGGTTGCTCCAAAGAGAGCCCAGCCAAACTCACCTTGTCGTACATCCTGTTCAGCAGCCGCGGCACGACGGGGAAGATGGTTGGGCGCAGGGCCTTCATGTCGTCGGACAGGAGACGAATGTCTCCCTGGAAGAACCCAATCCGCCCTCCGTGGCAGTACACTACAGACTGATGGGGAGAGAAAAGAGCACATGGAACCCCTCTGCTTTTAATTCCCACAGCACAGCCTCCCTCCCAAGCACAGAAGCCCCCTTCTTGAAATTCTACTCTGCAGTACAGCAAAAACGGGGCTTTAGAAATACACAGAGAAGTAACAATAAATTTTGCACTGAACAGAAATATTTGGACAGTTCTGGGCACTTTTCAGTGCTGGCAATTCAGAATCCACCAAATTTGCCACTTGTTCTGGAAGAACAAGGAATCAAAGCTTTCCCTTCATCCCCTGCATACAGGGATGGAGAAGTCCCAGCTGTGGTCAGATTCTGGATCAGAAGTTCCCTGAAGCCCAGCCCTCCCACAGCAGCTCACAGCATGAGGACCTATTGTCAATACAGAAATGTACACTAAGGAACATGGTCAAACACTGAGCAGCAGCTGATTTTTAGAGGTTAATACTTTAGTTTTGTTTAAATACAACAGTACAGACTACGTTAGCAATACAGTGCCCGATCCTGTATCCCAGAAATAGAAGCCCACGTCACAAAAGGTGCTTGACTTGTAGGGCAACTACAAGTGCAGGAGTTTTGTACTTGGAAGGAAAGCAGGATGTTTTAATTGGATCAGAATAGAGCTGGATGTGTGGGATGGGGCAGGGGGGCTGCTGGCCACGAAGCAGTAACCAGTAACCCTGCAGAGGACCAGTCATGCACTTGTTAAAACTGGCATTTTATCACTGAAGAGCATTTGGAGACCGGCACCACTACCCTGCTTCAGACTGCAAGGAGGAGAAGGCATCCTTAGCAAGCACCACGATGCCAGAGCTGAGCTCAGCCTTCCTGAGGAGACTGAGACCTTCAGCTCCCTTCGGGGGGCTTGTCTCCCCCAAACAACTAAACCAGTGGGAAATTCCTTAGGAGACACCCAAGTATTTTTGTGCTGCTCCTAAAAATCTGTGATATGAACCTGAGCACTCTCACTGCTCTGTCAGGCAGTTAGACTGTCTCCATCAGCTGAAACCACAGGAATTTTATACATGTGATGCGGGTTTAATAAACATCACAGTGCTGAATCTGTGCTTTACACTGCACATGAATTAAAAAAAAAAAAAAAGGAAAATATAAGTCAGTTTGCTCAGTGGGAATTAAAAATAACAACTAGAAATTTTTAAAGAATGTATCTGTATAATTTTAACTGCAAATTCCAGGAACTAATAATGGTGGCTAAAACTAGGGATGCTGACACAGAGCTTGCTGTTCAGAATGTTTTTGAAAATTACTTTTTAGCCCTTTTGGAAAAAAATATTTCTATTACTGAGCATTTTCAGCAGGGAGGATAAACCTGAACATCCTTTGGAGGCTGTCCCTTTCAGTACAGCAACATCCTGTGAAATGAGGGCATTTCAGATGTTTTTAATTTCTTCCCACCCCCCACCAGATGACTTTTGAATAATTGTATTCTTTGCTGGCAAAGCCATTTGCCCAAGCAGTGTTGGCACACTGACCAACTTGCCTTGCAAGTGGAGAAAGGCTCTGCTGTAATTCTCCAAATCTTTCATGGGCTTTCACTTCCAATTTGTGAGGTTTTTAACAGGGCAGAAATTTATTATTTCTGGCACAGATGTCACTAAGAAGTGGGAGGTTTATATTCAGACACTTGTCTGACTCAAAAAATATGCTTTCAGCCTGAAACAGTCCTCCCTGAGAAAGTACAAAGCTGCAACTGGACCCAGGTCCAATCTTCACATACTGGATTAGTTCTGAGTTTGCAGATTCTCAGGCCAGCAGACCTGATGTCGTTGTGTCACCTGGCTTGCCTAACACACCAATTGCAGCACAAATTACCACAATTATCACCTTTTTTTTTTTTTTTTTTCAGAAAGAGCCTGGAGTCAGTTCTGCTGCTGGCAAGAGCTTGTGCTTGGATCCACCACCATTCCCAGGGGACACCAGCTCCAGGGATGGCACAGCACCCTGCCCTGCCGGGAGGATCACGTGTCTCACACCATGATCTCAGCTGCCTCTTTTGCAGTGTAGCCAAACTGGGGTGGGTGGGGTTTTTTTGCAGATCTGGTTTAATTATGCAATGAAATGATTTTAGTTGATGTACAAAATGGCATCAAATTATCTTGACCCCTGTGACACCTCATCCTAGAGTGCTTAGAAAAGCTGCCCCCCAAATTGCACAGGCAGCAGCAGCTATGAGCTGAACAAGCAGGTAGCTCGTTGCTGAAGGGCTGTTTTCCAATCTCTGAGCCAGGTGTAAGCTGGAAAACTTGGGAAATTCTCCTGGAATGGCTCTACACTCACAGCCATGTCACTGAGACTGCAGCTGGGCCCTGGTGTTATGCATGTGGCACTTCTGGAGTACAAGCTTTTTTAGTGCTACAAAATATCACTGGTTATTTAGTATTTTATTCATTTTATCTATTTTTTGTGCGTGTGTGGAAAAAAGATGATTTCCACTGACACCAGGACCTTACCTGTACCATTCTCTCAAACATGTGTGCTAAAGGCAAATAGGAAATGTGTACATCCTCACAAGTAGGAGACCACTGACTCTGGAAGAAAACACAAGGAGCCCCACGAGGCCTCGTCAGTTCAGGCAGGTTTCTTACCTGTATAACTCTTTCAAACATGTGAGCCAGAGGCAGGAAGGAGATGAGCACATCGTCCTGTCTCGGAAAGATCACTTTCTGCAGGTGAAGGGCATGGGAGACAGAAAGGAAAGAAACACTGACAGGAAGACAACAAGAAAGTCATAAAACAATAAAAAGAAAAATGGCACCAGAGGAGCAAAAGGGTAAAGATTGTCAAGAGAGGAGGGAGCGGCGGACACAGGGAAGCGTTAAAGCCACAGCGTCATGGAGCTGGGTTAGCAGGAGGAGCAGAGAGATGGACACACAGGGCACGGAGAGGTCTCCATGGCAGAAGGCAGATTGGACCCACACAGCTGGGAATGGGGGCTCCCCTGGCAGAGAAGCAATTTGTATTCACTGCTCTCTCCCCAGGGCTGCTGAGCCCCCAGCCTGTGCTCTCAGCTGGGTGCAGACCAGCAGGGGCCTGGAGCAAAGCTGCAGGAGCCTCCAGGATCCCTGTGCTAACCTGCAGGAGCCTCCTGGACACCAGCAGGGCTTACCACACTGCACAGAGCCCATCTGAGAGTCACAGTGTTACTGCAGTCAAAGTTACAGGTGGCTTTTTCTCTTTTTCTTTGGTTAATCATTGATTTGAATCAGAGTATGTTGGGAAAACTAATTATTTCATTTTTAGCTGCAAAAATTATTTACTTCTGTTAGTGTTTCTCATCATTTTAAGCGATTAAAATGTGATTTTAAGGGCATTGTCACCGTCCCACAGACAGGCACAGTGGGGAAAGAGAAAGTTGGGCAAATTATTAAGAAAATAACTGATCAAAGCCTTCAGTTTGCCAAGCTTTTAACTCTCTCCTGCAAGCTGGAATAAACAAAGGCCCCAAGAGCCTTACCTAACCCATGCCCCAAAAGAAAACAGCTTTTCTACCTGAATTTCCTAGGGTAAGGCTTGCTGTACTATTATGGATTACAAAACCTGAAAGGTTGACTACCCAGTAATTTGCATCAAGGCCAGTGGTTAGAGGAAAATGGGTATAGAAATCTATCAGGTCACAGCAGTACCAGTTTATATCCACTTTGCACCTCCACTGCTCGGGTGGAACCAACAGCCCATGAGCAGGGATACGGTGGGGGCAGGCACAGGAGTTCCTCCCTCAGGGGATATTTTATTGAAGTTAAATCTGGGCTGGTCAGATTCGGGTACGGCCTCCCAGCCATCACCTACTGAAGTCAAACATCATTGACCACGTGGCTGTTTTCACCCATTTCATGTTATTTTGTCTGTCAGTCTGAATGAAGCCATTAGGGCCTGCAGATCTGTTTATATGTTGTTACAGTTTGGCCTCATTTTTTGCAAGCACAGTAATGCAAAACCTTTAACATCGCCAGGGTTTTTATATACTGCTTTAAAGGCCCAGAAAAAATAATTTGCTTTTAAATCAGACCAAAATGATGGCACTGAACAGTGTTTCACAGTTGGCACAGTTAACTGTAAAAATGAAAACTGCCTCTTGGCATTTGAGACCAACCTTATAATGAAGCTCTGGGCTCGCTTCAAAATATGCTCAATTTGTAAAAATCACTGAACTAAGCAAAACTGGCACAAGGGTATGTAAACAGCAAATCTACAGGACTTCTCATTTCATTTCCTTAATTTGATACTCTTTTCAAGGGTTTTGCACTTTGCTCAATTTCATGCAGTCAGACATTGCCCAAATCTCGGGGATCAGCTACAGACCTTTACCCCCTGCCTGCAGTACTGTGGTGACTGGAGCTCTCAAATTTACAGCCACTTCCACCAGACTCTGGTCTCAATCTGATACCTCGAGATTAATCAAGGAGCCCCACTGCCGTCAGCAACACTAAATCCATTTTTATGGGCCAGTCCTGAAAGATGCCAAGCTCCCTCAGCTCTAAATTAGGTCTCTTCCAAAATAAACGCTGCTGCCCTTTGAAGCTCAGACCTCCCCACGCCTCAGCCTGCATTTGTGCCTCTGAGGCCACGCAGAGCCCGAGGGCTCCTGCAGCAGAGCTGCCCTGGCCTTCCCCTCTGCACAGGGCTGGACTCCCAGCCCTGCAGGGACTGCCACCAGGGAGCTCAGGGGGATTGCTTACATCACATGTCTGAGTCCCTTTACACCAGGAAATCTCAGAAAGTTCAAGGATTAGGGTAATGAGACTGCAGTAATTTCAACCTCAACAATAAGACCAGCAAGGGGTATGAGGTAACCAACTCCAACATGCATATCACTACTTTACAGAACTGCTTGTTTGCTACCAAAAATTATTTATACTTTTTCTATATAAGCTGTTAATCCTTACTATGTTGTAGTAAAGTGATTCTGCTCCCTATATTGTTCCTAAACACAAATTTACTCATTGTGTGAAACATATTATAAAGGCACTTGGCCAGTACTATGCTTTTTTAGAAATATGTATGACAGAAACTAAGATACACTGGAATATCAATTAAATTAACCATTCTTGTTAGAAAGCATGTATGTTCTTTTACATATTTATATATCAACACACCCACGTGGTATGCAGAGAGTTTTCAAATCAATGAGGACGTTGCTGGGCACAGTGGGACATAAAGAGCACAACTGCACCCTGAACTCCTCTTCAAGCACCAACTGCAACTGTACAGGACTTGTCTGCTCTCCTAATTCTTCAGAATGAGTTAATTAATTGATGTACAGGAGTCAGCATTGTTTCCCAGCACTTTGTGCCCTACAGAGCCTGGGAGCCAGGGCTGGACAGGGGATTTAATGCCCTCCGGTGCCGTAGGCTCAGCCTCGCTCCCATTCCCATGGATTTGGCCCTCTGAGCAGGAGAAATGGCACCTCTTATCTGCAAGAGTGGATCTCCAGCCCGTGCAGGGCCACAGCTTAACCCCCACACTGTGCACATGGCAATGTTCTCTAGCTCAGGGTATTCACCTCCGTCACTTTCAAAAAGCCTGAAAAATCCGCCACCACGTTCCCATGGGTCAGCATAGCACCTTTGGGGTTTCCTGGAAGAAACACAGAGGGAGTTTAAACAATGAGCCAGAAGGCAACTTTCACAAGTTTAACACAAAAAAAAAAAACCACCAAAGAAACCAGAAATAGTTAAAATATTAAGTTCTCTTCTTGAATTTAAAAACTTACGTCATTTTCACTGTCATTTCTCCGCAGTAACATGCACCAAAAGCATTTACTGCTATATTCAAAATGTAATGAAATGATACTGTAAACACAGATATTTCTATTGGAGACTCTGCACAACAGTTTCCAGCAGAAATAGCCCAACTGCCATTTCTGAGAGTGCTCAGATGGAGCCGCTTGATAAGCACGGGCATCTGCCCAGGCTGGCTGTTCCAGCCTCTCCAGGGAGGATCTATTCCATCCAGATTTTGACTAAGAATGATATCGAACACCAAGAAACGCCATTTAAAAGGCTCTTACACTCTTACTTAGCCAGTACTCCAGATAACCTGAACAATGCAGAAAACAGGTAATACATGGCAAAAATTAGGCTACAAAAAGACCCTATGAGACTGCAATTAAAGGAAGTAATTAATAGTGTCAGCAGCAGAGGAAGAATGCCTTGGAGACAGCCCTAAATCCACCAGGGAGCCAGCAAAGCCCCAGAGCTGGCACTGCCCCTGCAGTCTTTCACCCACCACTGGTGGGCAACTCTGCACCACCAGTATTTGCTTTCTCACCCTCTTTTCTCAGCTGACACCCTCTTGCATTTCATATCTGTTTAGACGCCAAAACACAGGGTTTGCTGAGCAGCAAACACAGGCTGGACCCTCCAGGCACACAAACCAGTGGCACAGAGGGCTCTGCACGTCCTCCTGTCACAGCACTGTCCCTTTCCATCACCCTCCAAGGGTTTATTTCTGAAAAGAAGGAGTAGCTCAGCTCGAATAAAGATTACAGGGCCAGCCTCTCTCTCCCCAGCATGTTTTTAAGCAGATTGTTTTAATTCAGTCACGCCACTGCCACGTAGCTCCTGCTGCTCCCCATGGCAGCACACTGAGGAGCTTTACCTGCGGGTGCCCTGCATGGCCTGGCACGGTGGGCATGGGCAGCCTGGCAAAGCTCCTACAGGAGATGGAACTAACTGGCAAATCAGCCAGAAGTTCATCCTGCCTTCCTCAGATTAGAAGGGCAGAGGTGCTTTGTGAACATGTTTCAGCACAGCAAAAGATGTTTAATCCTCTCACTTCAGAGCGTTTTGCAGGCTGTGTCGCTGGGAGCCCTCAGGGTGGGCACGGGCACACACAGCACTGAGCCCTGTGCCCTGCCAGTGTCACCAGCATCGCTCCTACTCAACCTCACAACTAACTGAAGGCAGGCCCAAACAGCAGGAGCAATTGTTGCACACATTTATTGCACCAGAGCAGGATATTTTTAACACAATGTATTTTACTGAGAATCCGCATCTGCTGTTCCGAGTGCCTCGAGTAATTCAGTTCCAAACACCTGTAGATGAACGTGGTGCACAGGAGGCTGGTTTGGTGTCGCTGACACTGATCCTCATCCGAAGCTCAGGGGTGAAGCTGGGGCTGGCAGCTTTGCCAGTCACAGCCACTCCTGCCCTGACCTGCTGGGCCAACGGGCTGGTGGGTGCCAGCTCAGCCTGCCAGGTTATTTTCACAGCTGGGTGCACACGTGGATCCAGACCTCAATAAAACTCCACAAACCAGTGTCAGTTGTAAATACACATCACAACCCAGAAATTGCTGGTGTTATTTCAGTCGAGTCCAGGCAAACACGTGTGGGCAGCCCTTGCAGCCGTGCTCCTGCAGCATCACACAGCTCGGAGAGGATGTGCTGAGAACTGGTTTGGAAACTCAAAACTGTGCCCTCCAGCTTAACCAACAGCAGATCTGGTCCCTGCACCTTGACAAAACTCTTCAGATTTTTTTTTTGGAAGATTTCAAGTGTCCAAGGCCAGGTTGGCTGGCGCTTGGAGCAACGTGATCCAGTGGAAGGCGTCCCTGCCCATGGCTGGAATGAGATGTGCTTTAAGGTCTCTTCCAAACCAAACCAGTCTGTGTTTCTGTGAGAAGATTTCTCAGATCTCAGACTCATTTACTTACTCCATCTCTGACTTGAATGCAATTCAGTAGCTCTGTTTAAGTCACCATGCCACGGCTGGAAGCAGAGTGAACACCCTGGCTGCTTCCCTGTGCCCCTCCTGCTCAGGCTGTGGGATAACAGTGTTGAAGCAGAGCAGCAGTGCTGGAGCCAGGAGAGCCTTCATCGGGAGAAATCCAGAACAAACCATGCTGCCACAGGGCAGCTGCAGCTTCTTGGGTTGTAAATTCTAATCTTCCTTAGTAGTTCTGTTTTAGGAGCTAACCCAGCAAGACAGCTGCCCCTTTCTGCGAGCCCTTTCCCAGAACTGCCACTTTGAGAGAAGAAGGTTGGCAGTGATGCTGCAGTTCTATTTTAAAAACTCAATGCCAGGTCTGTAATGCTGCTCTTGTTTGAATTTCCTCATAAAGACAGGCCCAGTGAGTCTCCTGCTATGGAACGGATGCCCTGTGATCCCATCCCTTGATAGCCCAGGAACGTCAGGTCCTCCTCCTCTTGGTGCCAGGCTGGTTTGACAGTTCTCATAAGCAACAGAAGAACCTTTTCCACATGGCTAAATGGGTCTTTCAAGTGGCAGCTCCAGCACTAACTTAGTGGTGCGATCCATCAGCGTTTTGGGATGCAAGCACTTTCCTCCCCCCAGCAGCTCTGGCAGACAGGAACATGCACTGCCAGGCTGGGAGAAACTGCTGGGAAGTGATTTTTATCCAGCTGGTTACGGGTGGATCCTTGGGGGAATGACAGTTGACTTCTCTGGAGTAGCCAGCATGAAAAATTTTATCCTGACAGTTTGGGGACATCTGTGTGCCTTGGGCCCGTTTCCAAGTGCTGATGGTTTCTTGGCACAACCATGAAAGTTGGTCTTGTCATCGGAGCTCAACAACCTCAGACTCTCCCTGCTCCCTGGGGAGGCATTGGGACATCTGGTCCTATCAAAGAAAAGCAAACATTAAAGTCTACTTCTGGGGAATTGTTTCCGATTTTCCCATTTCCAGGTTACAAATTCTACAGCAGAGATTTTTTTTTTTAAACTATACTAAAAATATTTAGAGTCCTTCAGAATTGAAGAAAACCCTAGAGACCATATTCTTTGGAAGAAAATTCTAAATCTGATCATTAAAACTGATGCGCTAAACAGAACTCCAAGCGTTTTACACCAAAATAAACACAATGTGGAAGACAGACTGGAGTGTTGATGCAACCTCTGGAAAAGCCAGAGAGTGGCGTGCAAAGTCCTGCAGCAGCAGGACCCACCCAGGCTGGTGGGTCACAAAGCATTGCTCTGGGAGAGTTCAGTGGGAGAGATTTGCAAAATCTGAAATCTCTGGTTTGGATGGGAGAAAGGAAATGAGCTCCCTGGTTGTCCTATTTCTATAACCTTGAGCATTTTTCTAAGAAAAGCACAAGCTGGCCCATGATTGCATTTGCAAATAAGAAAATTAAAAAAAACCCCTTCTCTATGCAGAATTTCTTATTTAGCAATAAAAATACAACAAAAATGTGGCTTGAAATAAACAGTCACTCTGCACTTGAAAATGCACACGAAGACACTGTGCCCTGCTGTATCCATGGCACGGCTCCTTCAGCTTCCTACAGGTGCCAGTTGTGCCAGCCCCTTTGCCCTGACCCTGTACATGGCTGTGACATCCGTGTCCTGCACTGCCCCAAGGCTTTCCCTGGGCACTCTGAAGTGCAGATCCCAAAACTAACAACAATGTACTAAGGTAAGATACCCAAACCCTTTTAATACATCTGGAGTTTGTACTTGGGGCTGATAAAGCAGTTGCCTACCTGGTCTGCAGCACAGGTCTTCTCTGGCAGGTGGAAGATGAAGGTCCCCTTGTACTCAGCCTGACCCGCAGGCTGGGCAGCACCAGCAGCTCCAGCGTCTTCTCTGGCCTAAACGGGCCGAGGCCAAACCGAGGATGCTTTGGGGTAGGGCCAAGCATCAGACAATCCTGAGAGCACAGGTGAACATGGAAGAGCTGCTCCAGCAGCCCCTGGAGCATGGCAAGTGTAAAGGCAGTTTCCCAAGCAGTGATGTCTTGTGCATCACCCTGTACAGCTTTTAGGGAGATGTTACAGAGGTCGAGTTCTCAAGAGCAGGAAATTCCTGCAAGCTGATGAAAACCAGGGTCTGGAGAGAGGAGAAAGCACTGCCTCTGCTAAAAACAGGCAGGAAAATGATGCTGCTCATCCCCAAGGACAGGAGGCCAGTGGCACATGGGTACCAGCACCGTGGGCTGCCCAGGCTCAGCCCCGACCTCCCCAGCCCAGGGCCAGCCCGAGGACATGGGCAACACACCAGCAGAGGGGACAGAGGTGACAAGGACCTTGGTGAGGCTGGGGACATCTGTGTGCTTAGGATACAGAAAATGGGAAGCTGTGGAACCACATTTCAGTGTTTTAGGGTTTTTAAAAAAACATCTGCAGAAGATAAATACAAATCAACCAAGTGCTTCACAAGTACACTGCAAAATAGGAAGCAGAAACATGGGCAGATTCCCAGACAACTGGAAAATTGCACTGGCAAAGTGTATGCCACAGAATTCAAGTGAAAAAGAAAAATGATCTTAGATATTTAAAGTGCATAGAAATAGCATTGCCATGTCAGTATAACAGCAAGTTTGCATGTACTGAGGTGGGATTAATGATTAATCTCATAATCTATTCTAACATTTCAAGATTTAAATGCCTCTTTTACCTGTAGTGCCACTAGTAAAACAGACAATTGATAGATCTTCTGGTCGAGGAGGCTAGAAATACACAAGGAGAATAAGAAAATCACATCAACCAAATGCAGAAGGGTTAATGGAGAGACTGTTGTCATTGTGTAAACCTAAAGATTAAACCAATTATGTTTGAGCTTTGCCATAAAAAGCTTTCCTTTCCCTCAGTAAATATTGCAGTTCATCATAAAACTCTTTTTATTAGGTTTCTTCAGTTGATGCAGACTCTTTTCTTTATGCTTTGCTCCAGCTGCACATGCTTTAGGGTAAGAAGACTGATGGAATACTTGTCTTGCTATTAATATTTTCAAAGACACCATCTACACCTGTAGGTGTGTGGGAGACTTGAGATAATTTACTGATTTCCAGATAATTCTGGAAACAATTCTACAATATGGGACCAGATTCCAAAGCTGCTGATTGCTCCCATTTCCAGAAGCATCTCTGTATTCTCAGCACCACCTCATGTGTGTGCTATTTTGGGTCATGAATGACTAAATAAAAAGCTTGAACATCAGAAGCTGCTTTTGAGAGTTTTGCACGAGTATGAGCAGCCAGTGAAAAATATCAAGGCAATTTTCCAGAAATATCCCATATAACTACTGCCAAATAGCTTTTCTGAGCTATAGAAACCCCAGCAGAAAGCAAAGGGTGCAGAGACATTCCCCCAGTGCCACCTGGGCAACTACTGGAATTTGGGTGGCTTAACTATGGCTGTGCCATTGACATGTTCAGCAGGGATGAGCCAGGTCAGTGTCCCAGGTGAAGGGACTTGGAGCAACCTGGAATAGTGGAAGATGTCCCTGCCCATGGCAGGGGGTGGGAACGAGCTGAGCTTTAAGGTCCCTTCCAACCAAACCATTCCATGGTTCTGTGATCTCCACTGCATGGCATCAGCAGTCCCTGGGCTCCTCCACTGCCTCCCTCGTGGAGAAAACCTTCCCCTCTCTTGTCAGTGCAATAAATGTCCCACTGTCAGCTGCAGTGGGAAAAGCAACATGCCAAGACTCACCACAGGCACATGTCGACTCTCACGGCCACGGTCCTGGAAGAGATTAAAGTAACGAAAGTGATTTCCACTTTAATTCCTGCAGTGTAACCCACTTGCTAATCATCTGCAAACCACTAAAGGAGAGCGTGAGCCAGAGCAGAAAAATTCATGGCTGGCACTTAGGTCATCTCTCCTATCCAGACTTTCTTGCCTTAACTGCAATGCCATCCTTGGATTTCAAGCAGTGCTTGGGTTGGTTGAGCTGGATCCAGGGTGTTTCATACAAGTGTGAGGCTGTAGGCTTACATGTAGGAGGACAGCATCTCAAATAAAAACCCTCTTCCCAGGCCTAAATAGCAGCTGACAGAGTATTTGAGGAGAAAGGACTGGAATCTTGGCTCTGCTATCAACAAGGAACAACACCAAGAGGCGACTGCGCCAAGCATCAGTATTATCAGCCACCAGCTCAGCATTATCAGCCACAAACTGCTCTTTTGTGCTCTCCAGACACTGAACCTGCCACATGGTTCACAAGTCCCTGTATATTTTACTGTCTTTTTATAGAAATCACAAAAAATTATAAAGGGAGGGGGAGAGCAAACTCACCTCCACCTCCTGCATGGTCTGGATGCGAACCCCGCAGCGCCTCCCCCTCTCTGCCAGCTCCTTCTCGAAGGGGTCCATCAGGATGATGGAGCTCAGGCCCGGTGTTTCCTTCCTCTCCACGTGGTCCAGGAGGATCCTGGCTTTCTCAGGCTTGTCACAAATGACCGTGGAGATGTCAGCTGGAAGAAGAGCAGCCAAACAAACTGTCTGCAGTAAATCCTTTCTAATGCAAGGCTCTGGCTCACAGCTAACGCTGTATCAGTTCTGATAGTCACTCCAGGCTACATCAGAAATCCCAGCACTCTCTTGAAAAATTACTGCAATCTTAGCTAACCTAAATCAATGCCAGAGCTGCAGCTGACATCCACAGCTATTCTGGGATTCAGTTCAAAATACTAAAATTGCTCCTCACATGGGTTATAAAATCTAGGAGGCAAAACATGAAGCAGCACAGGAGTGGGTGGCCGTGGAGTAATTCCCACACCCAGAGCAGCCCTACCCGTGGCTATGCACAACTGGGCATGTGGGAAACATGGCAGAGGCAGCCCTGACCCTGCACGGGGACACACAGCTCCCCAGGAACCTCTCCAGGTGACTTCAAGACACTCAAGGAGTCACAGTGTCCCTTCCCTGGGAGTGTCCAAGGCCAGGTTAGAGGGGTCTTGGAGCAACCTGGGCTAGTGGAAGGTGTCCCTGCCCATGGCAGGGGGCTTGGAACTAGGTGAGCTTTAAGGTCCTTTCCAACCCAAACCACTCTAGGATTCTATGATGCCCTATCTTTTAGAAGCAGAAAATGACTCATTCTGAGCAACAAAACTGATTTCTGAGAAGATTACATCCAGTTTGGTTTTACCTGTGTTGAGGATGTACCGAATGGCTCCAGGACCCAAGGTGTCATAGAGAGGAACCACCACCATGGAGTAGGTGTAGCAAGCCAGCTCAGAGATGATCCACTGCAGGAGGGCAGGGAAGCACAGAGGTGAGAAGGGGCCATGGGAGCAGATTTAACACACTGAGAACAAGCTGACAAGACAGGAACATTATGAATACAACATCAAGTTGAACTTAGAATCTCACCTCTGGGCGGTTTTGAGCGAAGACCCCAATGAACTGCTTTGTGGATGGCTTGCAGCCCTGCTGCAGAAGGCCTGAACCCAGAGCTTCTGCTCTTTCAGCCACCTGGAATTTGGAGAGGAAAAATACATAAAAAAAGAGGAACATAAGCAATACCAAACTAAGTAAAGATTTATACAGGGAGGCTCTCAGATTATCATATTTGCTATCTAAAAGTCCAATTTTCATCTTATCATAAGCCATCATTAGCTGACTAGCAGTCGATGTCTGGCTGGCGACAGAGTGTGTCAGTGCTGCAGTCAGGAGTGGGCTCATGGCACAGAGCCAGCCCCTGAAAGCTGGCACACCAATACAACACCTGGGTGTGCAGGGAGGGACACAGGGACCCTCACAGAGCTCAGGAGCTACACCCTGGTGTAGCACGTGTGTCACCAACAGGCACCCCAACACCCCTTCTTCTGCTGGGCAGGGGGACAGGATGCACAGGGGTGTCATCTCCAGCTCACCTCCTTGTAGGACAGCCACTGGTAGGGCTGCTTGGGTTTCCTGAACCCCAGGCAGGGGCCGTTCTCTGGAAAACACAAGCAGAAATGACAAGTTGAGGGGGTTAATGTGCTGCTCGGTGCCACACTGAGGGGATGTGGCAGAGCCCTCCAGCAGTAAATCCACAGTTACTGGGGGGCTGGCTCTCACTCCAGCAAATTACACACACAGGTGCACCCGATGGAAATCGAGCTGCTGGGATCCCAAAGATCTTTCATCCTCCCCCCTGAGCTACAGGAGGGACAGCAGCAGTTTGCCCCAAACAGCTTCATTAAAAGACACTTCTCGGAAGGTCGTGTGAGCGTTAGTGTCAGGAGAGGGCTCTCCTCCCAAACCCCACCTCCCACTGCTTGCACTGCCTTTTGATTAAAACAGTTCAAAGTGAAAACTGCTATTTTTAGCCCAGCCTGCTCTGGAGGAAGGTAAAACAACGTGCAGCACTGCATGACAGGATGAAGATTTGAAAAGTTTAAATAATTTGCTGACTGTACTTACCTTCACGAGATCCATTCCTCCATACACCTACTGAGTCACTGATTCACCCCTGTCCTGTGGGGTGGAACACGTGCAATTCCACTGAGGTTTTTGGTGGCACCAAAAATAATAATCTGACCATGAAATGGTTGTGTCCAATGAGCCATGACATCATGAACAGCAGACACAAAAATGGTTATGATAGAGCATGGAAGAGTCACTGTGGCTTTTAGGAGTGGGACATGATGTCTCAGGAGTGTTTGAGAGCTCCCTGATGGTGCCATCAGCCGTGGGGTAAGGACATCTGCACCACCTGGTCCCCCACCTCTGCCCCCAGGCCTCCTCCCCACCGTGCTCTCACCAGAGATGCTGAATCCCCTCCTGAAGACCTCGTACATGGTCCTGGCGTCATCATAGTAGTGCGTCAGCAGCTGTGGGCTGTCCCCGATCACCGACCGGCGCGCCCCGGCCAGGCCCTGTGGGACACCAGGTGACACAGGTGACACAGGTGACACCAGGTGACACAGGCATCAGGGCTGCCCAAGGGTGGGACAGGGGAACCCCCACCACAAAGCATCAAGCTCCTCAAAGGGCGGTAAGACCTCTGTGGCCACCACTGTACCCCTGCCCCAGAAAGGGATGGGAGAGGTGGGACATCCCCTGAGCACTCCAGTGACACCGAGAACCACCTGCCCAGGGAGGAGCTCACTGTCATGGGAGATGGCTGATACTTCCCAGGGGACTGAAGCAGGAATTATGGATCTGCAGGCAATGGAGTGGGCTGTGCCGGGGGGAGTGACTGCTCTGGGCTCCACAGATCCCCAGCACTGGCACCATGGGCACCTTCTCAAGGACATTCAGACCGACATGAAGGACAGACTAAGGCAGAGGCTCAGCAGGGGTGTTTTAGGAGTTGGCAGGGGAGATAGCCAGCGTGGGAGAGACCACACTGGGAGCCAGAAAAAAATCTCACTAAAGCCCTAACCACAAAGGAAAAACTGCCTTGAAAAATGTAAATTCCTCCCACCCTTTTAAAAAGCTGTTGGAATTAAAGACAATAACTTCTTAGAGGGAACATCACAAAAGGCTTTAAAAATTCTCATCCCACTTTCAGATATTAAATTAAGTGGAGACAATTTTCAGAAATATTTCTGCTCTTTAAAACAGAGCAGCTTCATTAAACTTTAAAACCTTTGCAAGCATGAAAATTAATAACTGTTCAGCCTCTAAGCATGGATTCAGGTCTACTTTGTCTTACTATTACCAACTTTGCAGCAGCAAACTCAGCAAAGGGCACACATGAGGAGTACCAGCTGGTCTTATCAGCTGTTGCCTTTCAGTGGTTTCTCCCATGCAATAGCAGTGTCTCTAATTTTTGGTCATGAATGGTTAAGTTAAGACCAAAATGTTACTGAGAAGGTAAGAGAATAAATTAATGTGCTGCATTCTAGTTTTCCAGTTTTCAGAAAGAGGTGAACTGGTGAATTAAGAAGTGAAGTGATCCCTGGCACAGTGCATTATGTGGCTGATTTCAGGATGGGGTTGGGGAACTACAGAAACAAGAAAAAATGCCTTCCTGGCATGACCTTGGGGTCACAGACCTGTTGGGGCGAGTCCAGAGCAGGTCACAAAGGTGATTAGAAGGATGGGACACCTCCCCTAAGAGGAAAGGCTGAGAGAGCTGGGGTTGTTCACCCTAGAGAAGGCTCTGGGGAGACCTTATTGAAAGGGGCCTATAAGAGACAGCTGGACAGGGACTTTTTACAAGGGCACGTAGTGACAGAACAAGAGGCAACGGCATCAAACTGAAAGAAAGTAGGTTTAGATTAGATATTTGGAAGGAATTCTTCCCTATGAGGGTGGGCAGGCCCTGGCACAGGTTGGCCAGAGAAGCTGCCCCATCCCTGGGAGTGTCCAAGGCAGGTTGGACGGGGCTTGGAGCAGCCTGGGCTGGTGGAAGGTGTCCCTGCCTGTGAGGGGGGTGGAACGAGGTGCTCTCTAAGGTCCCTTCGAGCCCAAGCCATTCCATGACTCCCAGGCACGCCAACCTCGGGGAAAGCCAGCCAGGCTGCCCCGGCCTCACCTCCACCTCCTGGGACTGCATGCGCAGGTCGCAGGGCGGCTTCACGGCGCGGGGCCGGCTGGCGAACCAGTAGGCGACGACGGCGGCGAAGGCGCCGATGCCGACCAGGGCCGTGGCCGGCAGGTTGCGGAAGAACTGGCTGAGGTCATCGAACTCGGGCAGCCGCAGGCTCCGCAGGATCTCCTGCGCCTGCATCTTCTCCGCCAGCGAAACGGCAAACTCTGCAAGAGCCAGAGCGAGGGGCAGGTCAGGTGGGGCAGGGGATGGGCACGGGCAGCGCAGGTCTCTGCGCGGTTTGGGAGGGCAGAACATGCTGTGTCGAGCTCCAGGATCCGGCTACAACAGGGAGGGCAGTCTGGTTGTGCTGGGCCCATGGAGCAGGACCTGCTCCTGGGAGAGCCAAGGGCAAGCTGCAGGTCAGGCACTGATCCAGACACCGCCACAACAGGTTGCTTTGCACATACAGACACAGCGGAGAGTGGGAGCCAGGCAGGGGCTCGCTGCTCCAGGGTGCGAGGTCAGGGCTGTCCTCAGGGGACTCCTGTTTGGGTGTTGAGTACACAAGGAGCATTTTAAATAACTCCTGTTTACAGTGCTGGTCCAGTATCAACTCCCCAGTGGGGAGTCTCCAGTATCAGCCAGCCCTGTGAGGGATGAGCCAAGCAGGTGCTGCCCAGGGGGAATCCAAACAGTTAAGGTTTCACACAGCTCTATTTATGACTTTATAGGAGTCAAGGTCTTAAAAAAAGTTTTTCAGCCACAGGAGTCCAGGCAGCCCCTTTCCTCTTGCCCTCTGGCCTTGCTCCAGCTTGTGGAGTTACATGGCTTCACTCCCACAGGGGGCCAGGACTTCCCACACAATGGCACCACTAACATTAACACAAACCAGCTTTTTTCCTCCTGGGAACAGCTTCTGGGCTGCTCTGTCCCGAAGGTCAGGGCTGCCCCCTCTCAGCCTTCTCCTGTGTTTGTGCCAAGCAAGTGCTGGGGCTGGCAGAGAGGCCAGGCAGCAAACGGGGGGCACTCCTCACACGAGGCTCTGGAGGAGGTTTGTAAGTTTGCACAAGAAAAAATACAACAAACAACATTACAATTAACCTCACTCACTGTTGGGTTATGAAGTGGTGGAGGGCAGCAGTGAGGGGACAGTGACACAGAGCCCATATTCCAGTCCATCTCCATCCTCAGGGCTCAGGCCCAACCCCAATCATCCCTTGGGCCCAATGCTGCACCCCAGTGCCAGCCCAGCATCCCACAGCCACCTCTGCTCCCTCGAGAGCTCCTGACCCTACAGACCCTCTGGAACCACAACCAGCCCTTCAAGAATGGTTGAACCCCTGCAGAGATCACATCCACATGACATTACTGGCCAATACCCACCCACGAGGTAATTTTCTCCTGAGCTTTGAGCATCTTTTCAGCAATCTTCAGATCTAATAGAACGCTGACTGTGTGGCTGTAATGATGTGAAGGTGAACTGTGAGGGTGGGCAGGCCCTGGCACAGGTTGCCCAGAGAAGCTGTGGCTGCCCCATCCCTGGAAGTGTCCAAGGGCTTGGAGCAGCCTGGTCTAGTGGAAGGTGTCCCTGCCCACGGCAGAGCAGTTGGAACTAGATGAACTTTAAAGTTCCTTCCAACCCAAACCATTCTGGGATTCTTTGAATTGAGAAGGAGTACTGATCGCTCCCCTCAGTATTTCTCCACACCAGACTACAAAAGCAGCCTGCCAAACACACTTTTACTACAGAAAGTGAGAGAGCTCAGCAAGAGAGCTATTCATTTACCAATGAATTGGCTATTTGTGCAAAAGCATTTCAGCAAGTCCCACTTAAGACTGTCTGCTCCCAGAAACAGCCTGTCCCACCAAAGGCAGCCACCCAGTTTGCCACAGTTGCTGGTTACACTGAAATCTTGGGAATTACTCCCTCAAAGCAGAGCTGGGAAGGTGTCTGTGAAAACAGCACTGCCATGAGGGGATGCTTGGCCACAGCCTCTTGCTGCTGCCCTGCTCGACTGCAGGGATTGCCTGGGGGGAAGCAGGGCCAAGCCTTTAATCTGTCCAGGTACAGGGTGTCCACAAACATCTTGGAGCTCACAGCATCATCAAAAGGATAGTGAGAGTCAGGGCTGCAGTCTCTGCTCACATTGGATTGTTGCACTACAGACCTCACCCAGCTTACCTTTAGCAACAGTTAATCCTGATTTTTGCATTCCAAAGTGATTCACGATGGGCCTGTACTTGATCTGCTCAGAGCAGCCAACCTGCCGTGGGATGGTGGCCAGGAAAGGGGCCCAGGTGTGTTTGGGAGCACTGTGTCTGCAGAAAGAGGGCTCAGGGCTGCCTGGATCACAGCCTCCTCCTCCGAGTCCAGACAGGCAGGTGAGCCCCTCACAGTCACATGCTCTGGGAATGCATTTCTGGGGTGATCAGGAAAATAAGTAATTGTAATTTAAACCCATCAGCAAGGCAGTGTCACACCCCAGAGCGCACCGGGAGCAGCCGCTGCCCTCCCCTCGGGCTCAGGATCAGCAGCAGGATGGTCTCCACCCCCCTTCTCATTCTGCCCCCCTTGGCCCATTCCTGCTGCCTGCAGTGGATCACCACCCTGCTGTGGTGCGTGTTCCCCACCAGCAAGTGGCACAGCACCCATGCCTGGGGCATGTGGAAACACTGACATTTCTGTTTATTCCGATTTACCACCGGATTCCTAAAGCATTCCCATGGCAAAGAAAAGAGAAACGAAAATGCAAGGAGGGACAGAAGAAAGTGGTTTGGAGGAAGGAAGAAGTGCTGGGGAGCTGCCAGGAGGAAATAGCCATGGGTAAGAGCTGGGGATTTGGAACTTCCCAGCCCGGGTCTGGGGTGAGGAGAGCTCCTGCAGTGGCACTGGGCTCTGAATCACCCACCAGCCTGTGTTCACAGCAATCACCCCCAGGACAGGCCTTATTTATTTATTTTGGGAACAAATGGCTCTACTGTGCAATTTGGTTTTCATCTTTTCCTGCTGGAAGTGATTCTGTAACTCCAGTCAATGGAGTTTTAGTGACATAAGCCAGTGTGGGAACAGCCTCAGACTGCTGGTGTATGCATAATGCAATTAAAATTTTACCGGTCCTGTGCAGCCATGCAATCACATCCTTCCTACCATTCCATCAGTGCCTGCTTGGGAAGAACAACTCCTTTTGGGACACCCGGATCCTCCTGCCCCCTTCATTCACAGCAGGGTGGGGAAGAGGAGGGTGATTCATTTTGTCTTGGAAAGTGGGCAAAGTGTCCCGTTACCATCCCTGTATTCAAGGCCCCAAAAAGGCTATTTACATTAGACTTTAGAGCACTAAACCAAACCCAAATAAGCAGCTTTTCAGCATGTCTGAGAGAATTAACCATTTGCAGTGGGGAACTGCAAAGGGCAGCCAGTGACACGCGATGGCTCAGAGCCCGCAGCCCCTTCTCTCCCAGCAAGCTGGAATATCCCGGCAGTGCCCTGGATCCGTGTCCTTGGCTACAGCACTGGCAGCTCACTCATTTCACTGAGGAAACGGAATTTACAGGAGCTGAAACATCTCAATCCAGACAGGCAGATTTAGAGGGATTTCACTCCAGTGAAACAGTACGAGCTTTTTGAACTCTTTTCTCACATCCAGCTCTGCAGGCCCCAGACCTTGAGATTTGTAATTGTTTTCCTGAAATGGGGTCGGTGACAGAAGATTTGCAGAAGGAAGCAGCCAACTTGGATCATTCTCCCTCACCGCCCCCCGAAGAACAAAACTATGCTCAGTGTCCTGTACAGAGGGTTCAGGAGACTTTGAGATGGGGATTCAAATCATGATTATGTCACTATAAGAGAGTCTGCATTTACAGAGGGAAGGGAGCATCAGCATTCCCAGGGACACACGAAACTGCCAGACTGCACCACTGGAAACCATTTGTTAATTTAAATGAAAGCTGCTGCAATAATTAACATCTTCATGAAAACATATGCACAGAGGCTGCCACAACTGTGCAGGCAGAGGCATTTTGGGGATCTTGTGTATTGTTTGCAGAGTACAATCATTATTTTTCCTTTTTCCCAAGCTCCATGCAGGCACGCAGGGGGCCATCAACCCTGGGAGGAACCACTGCCATTAAATGCAGCTCAGACACCTCTGACCTTCTCCAACCTGGCCAGGGAGCTCCTGGGACACCACAGGCTGTGAATTCCTAATCACTGCTGTCATTAAAACTGGAGAGGTGCTGCCAAGTCAGCCTCTGCTGAGCAGCTCCACAAGTTTGGACTGTGTGTGCACAGAGGATGAGAAGCTGGGTGAGCCTTCAGTTCCCATCCTGAGGCCAGCCTGGGCTGGGCTCAGGTGAGGGGGGGAACACGGCCACACCACAGCAAGCTGGGCTCACACTTCCCTAGATTTTATGGGAACAAGTGATCTAATGAGATCTCCAACCACAGATAGAGTTGTGCCCCAGTCACAAATGCACTACCCAGACCTCACTGACTCTGGTTCCACTATAACTCAAGGAGTTATAATTGGGAAGGGATAGGGAGGAAAAAAAGAGGAAAAAAACAAACAAACCAAAAACCAAACAACAACAACAAAAAACCAAAAACAAAACAAAACAAACAAACAAAAAAGAACCAGTTTAGGGATAATATTGCTTTTTTGGATTATTATACCAGTGCTCAGGCAACATAAGAGGGTGTGAGAGGTGATGGATAGCAAACACAGGAGGAAAGGCACACAGTGCCTGTGAGGCTGCACCACTTCTCCAGGGAGTGGACACTAGAAAGCACCCAGCAAGCCAGAAATGCAACAAAAGCAGCTTATAATTTTATATTTTACTTTTAAAAATGAAGAACGTTCCTCTCCCTTTCCTTGGAGAATCAGACCCTTCCAATCTGTGAAACTGGCCTCTTGCCAACAAGACTATTAAAGAACAGGGTTTCAATGGTACATAAGCCTCTTTAGCTCAAATTGCTTTCGTGCCGGGGGTCAGTGCCCCCCGAACTGGGTGTCTGGGGCACCGGGAGCGGAAGTGGGGCTGCAGTGATGCCAGCAGGAACCATCCCTGTGCCCCTGTCTGCCCTTCCCAGGGCTGTCCCTCCCTGCTCAGCAGGGCAGAGTGATCTGCAGTGGAAAAAGGCTTTGCATCCGGGTCAAGCCTCGGATCTGCCGGACAGGAATAAGGCAAATAAACTTCATGGCAGGGAGGCCAGCCATGCTTTCCT